GCTGGGTGTATGCCAGAGTCGCAGCGCTCGGTTGGACAGCGAACTAGGCCAGCGCGGATCTGCGTCCCGGGTTCCTGGACTGCGAGCAAGCTGTCGATGGCCAGTGAGTAACTTTCAATGGCTCAATAGGCCCTGTGCGCGTTGCAGCAAAAGCTCGAAATTCTCGCTGGATCCGGCGCCCGGATGGCACCGAGGTGGCGGGGGCCCTCGTGGGGGCGCTGAGAGGGTGGCTGAGCCGAGATCAGCTCGCCAGCGCGCAGCCCGAAGCGGCAAGTTTCAAATACGAGGCAGGCATTTAAGGTGGCCTGTGGTCGGTTCGCACGTCACACGCCGTCGGGCAGCCGTCTCGCCGGCGGCGTGGCTCCGCAAGGGCCGTAGAAATCTCCGCGAAGGCTTGCAAAGGCGTGGTCAACACTAAGAGAATCTCGCATGGGTGGCTGGCGCGAGTTCCGGAATACGTACTACGCCTCTCCCCCGCGCTCCTGTCCCCTCCCCCGCGCGGCAAGCGCTCGTTGCGCCGATTTTTTACCGTTGCGGTGAACTCCATCTCTTGCGTGAGCGTTCGCTTCTCCAGCGCTAGCACGGCTGTTTCAAGCAATCCTCTGGGGCGCGAGCGACGGGTGCGCCGGCGGCGAGGCATGCATGTGCCGCCCACATCCACTGGACGTGCAGACTGTCGTGATGGCAAGCGCTGCGGCCGTTGCGACGTGGTTTTAAAGCCATCGACGCCCATCTAAGGGCTCACCATTTTCACAACCCGAAGCTGGCTGTCGCACTCCCGGGCGCCCACAGCATCACGTCCCTGCCCTTGTCCAGCAGGCCCAATCTGTTTGGACTCTGCCTTCGTCGTACACTGACCGAGAGGCGGTCGACATTCAAGGCACCCCCAGCCCAAACAGGACCAGCACCCCCGGGAGCTCGCGAGGGCTCCCTTGCCCGCTCGCGTTGGCACCGCGCACGGGCCGGAAGCGCTGTGTGGCCCGCCCAAGCGTGCCTTGAGGGGCAGGTTGTGAGTTCCACAGCCAACATCCACAGATGCCCGCGGAGCCCACGGCGGCACTTCTTGCACATCACCACACACAAAACCCGCGCCCCGCCGCCGGCCCCGGCAACGGGCCACGTACCCAAAAGGACTGGAGTACTTGGCCAGGATGCGCCAGACCCACTTGTAGGACGCGTTCCTCCCACCCCCGCTCTCACAGCCCCCTGGGCCCCCGCCCTTTTTGGGTGACGTGTTGCGCGCACGACAGCATCGAGCGCCCTACACCACGCCACGTGTGCGCGATCGCCAGGCGCACCAATTTGTCGTGCACGGACCTGGACGACAGGGTTCCGGGCGCCTGGGCGCCATATGTCCCGCACGGGCCCGCCGGCCGCCCCCGCGCGCCCAGGGGGCACCGCCCGGCCTCCGCCACGCCGCCCAGCCCACCCACCTGATTGCAGACAACCCCCCTTCCGGGCCTCACACAGGCGCCCGGACTACACCCTCTGAACTTGTCTCCTGTCGTACCCCGCAGGCAGTGCCTGTGGCACTGTCCGCGGGGACCCTAACCCACACCCCTACACCCACTCCACGAAACTGTGTGGGAGGGGGGCACGCGGAAGGGAAGGTCCGTGAGTGCCCTTGGGAGGGAGGAGAGGCGCCGCGTGGGCGCGGAGGATGCGGGATGCCGGAGTCCCGCCCGCCCGAACGCGGATCCGAAGAAGAGCGCCGGGTGGTGGGTTCCGGCGAAGCGACGCTCCCGGCGGAGATTGGCTCCGTGCCGGAAGGCAGCACATTCGTCCGTCCGGGCCGCATGCCGGGAACGAGGGCGCTTGGAGGCGCTCGGAGGGTCATTTTGGCGGCTGGGAGCCGGGGCGGCCCTCTGCTGCGGCTGGCTTGGCCGAAGGGCGTGTGGCTGATCGCTGTGGAAGGGAGCGAGGGGAGGGTGTTGGTGGTGGTGCACCCAGTTGGGGAAGTGCCGCCGCAGCCGCCGCGAGGGGTGCCCGGGGAGCGCTTGTTTCGGCTCCAGCCCTCGGCCAATTGTCGCCTGGGCGATCTGCGGGCCTTGGGTGGGAGGCAGGCAGGCCAGGTGGTCGAATGCATGGGGCCATATCCGCCCTCGGCTCCGGTGGCGCCCCGCCTGTTCACTGTCAAGGTGAGGCTGGCAGGGACCCAATTTGACCTGTTGACGCCGTTTTTGCCCAAGCATGCATGCATTTGCTCGCTGTCAATTACGGACTGGCCTGTGTTCCAGGGGGGCGATCGAGACCCCTCCATCCCCCCCCCCCCCCGTCCTGTGTAGGAGGTGGGTGTGCTGGTGCCTCGCGTGTGCTTGCGACAAGCTGCCTTTTTGGTAGGGTTTTCCGGCGGACGCTTGTTATGCTGTCTCTGAAAGCAATCTGGCACACATACGGCCGGCCGCTCACTCTCCTTTCTTTGTGTACAAGCCATCCTCTGCTCCGAGGTCGTGGGTGCCTTTGATTTTAGACCTGTAGTATGAGCACCCCCGTGTACGGCGTCTTCCGTACGTCATTAGTCATTCTGATTGGCTTAGTTCCTACAACGCCACAGCGTGGATGGTAGTTTTAGTGGTCCGCCAAAAGCACTTTTTCGAGTCACTCGCCATCACCAGGCACCTCTACCCCAAATGTAGACAGTAACGATTAGGCATGTGTTTTGGAAATACAAGCAAAACAAAACCTATAAAACTATAACACAAGCAATGGAAGAGAGCGCTTGCTCAATTACCCGAAGTCGAACACGTCATGTATCCTGTACATACCATACAGCGTATGGCCAGCTGCAGGATATGGCGCCCACATCATATTCGATATAAAGGATATGGGCAACACATGTATGGGATATGGGACATTTTTCCTAGAACACTCTGGCTGAAAGGGTAGTACATATCCCTGATCGTATGGGCAGGGCTGCTCATTTCTCAGCAGAAGCGGTACACGCACATTCACCCACTACACATTGGAGCATTTCGGGTTAATAAAGATGTGTATTTGGTATGCGGATTGTCGATTCCCGGTGTCAGATGTGAAATTGCAGACTTTGGACTTGCTTAGATGGCTGCTGCCAATGACGCTGCCATTGCTATGTTATGCATGTCTCTTGACTTCCACATTCATTGCAAAACACCTCGTCGACATAATCGCGTGGCAATATTAGGTATCGATACAAGAGAATTAATTCAGATATATTGCAATTTGGAGTATGGCCCGCAGCTGCATTCGTCGGGTCAGCAACGCGATGTGTCGGAGTTTACATGGTATCGAAGAAGAAGCTGGAAATTCTGGATACTTGTATCCAGGATATGAACTTGCACAGGATATGAAAGTCCAGATCGAGGATATGGCCATATCTTGAGTGTGCATATCCTGGACATATCATTCACACCATATTCGATGTGTAGGGTACGCGCAAGTATACGGGACGCACATTATCCAGGATACGCGGCATTTTGCATCATGAGTCCTAGAGGGAAACACTATGGATTAAAACGACAGCAAATTCAGAGGCTGATACTCGGAAGTAATCATCATTGACATTGCGTCCGTCCACTCAACATGATGATATTACCTCTGTTATGGCATTTCTGCTTGACACCATATAGTCAGCTCCGATTCAGCGAGTACCCAAATGGATATAATACACCGTGCAAACGAACATAGAAGCTTCGGTACAAGCAATCAGCCCTGTTTACTTGCCCCAGTCGGGTTGTTATAGACATATTCATGTATATCATACACACGTTGTTTCTTTGACAACTTATTCATTTGTTCACTCATGCATTCATGCTTGTATTCAATCATTCATTCAGTCGTTTTTTGTATTTTAACTAATTAGTTATTATATGACCTAATTTCAGTACATTACTTATACACCCATCCTGTTTTATCTATTTTCAACTGTATGCATCGCTGTGCATTCCAACAAATATCGCTTCAACGCTTCAACTTCCTGTCGGATGTTTTATCTATTTTCATCTGTATGCATCGCTGTGCATTGCAGCATATATCGCTTCAACGCTTCAACTTCTTGTCGGACGCGGAGATGTGCCGAATCTCTTGCGCAATAACTCCGCCGACGTGTATGCTAAATTAATTCGCAGTTTTCATGCAAATTTTGGTTCTCTTTTGTAGTTCCGCGCTTCGCACTCTGTGAGATATTCTGTATATTTGCCTGTTTGTACAAGGTGCTGATAATGCAGTGCGATGAATTCTGAAGCGTAGTGTACGTGTTTCCAACAGCTGGACCTGTTCCAGAGGGAAGATTCTGCGCGAGAAGAAACCTGCGTGGAAGCCACGTCTTTTGTCCTGCTGGGGTGGGATGTGGTCTCGTCGACCATTGCTGATATAGTCGCGACGATGGGAGGCATTCCCCTTCGAATTCGTCGACTGGCTTTCCAAGGTCGAAGGAAACAACCCGCAATGCTCGATTCAGCACAAGGACCACGTGCTGGTGAAGGTATGAACCTTACTACCGACCGCGAAAACGGACCAGGGAGCCAGACAGCGAGCTTAGGCGTTGGGAAAGCGCATTTTGTGAATGGCGGTATCCATGAACAGTGGCGGGGTGCATTATTTGAATTGTGCGCAATTGCGCACCCACCGGGGGCCGTGAGGAATTTGCTAGTAAATGCAGGAACAAAGCAAGGCCACGGTGCAGCACGTCATCGCTCTAGCAATGCGGAAAAGCAGTCTTTTAAATTTATTTTCAAGAGAACTTTAATGTCAAATACTGTAAACTACTGATTTTTATGTCACCTTTTACCAGAAGACTTCCGTATTGCAGTACAGTGCAATGGTGCGAATTCAGGCAGTTGTGCTGCTGCCACCTCATCGTTGGGAACCGTACCGATTTTGATGCAGGAACGGAAAACGTTGAAGTCGAAATGCAGTGCACCGATTCAGAAGATGGGAGCGATGACACGGAGTGGGAAAATCGCTTGTCGAATGGTAGTGGGGCAGCTTCCTTGCGCGAAAATGGGGAGGCGACCTCTGGGGACATGGACTTGGTGTCCTTGCTATCCAGCAGTGTCGAAATTGCCAACGAGCCACTCCCAAGACAATCCTGCATGTCCACGCCCGTCGTCAGCATCAAGGTGCGTCGCAAGTATGTGGAAGATAATAGCATGGTGACAATTGGCACCCAGTACTCTTTGGAATTTAGCGTACAGAAAAGTCTGCCAAAGTAAACGCCAGAGCGTTATGTTTCCGCTAAGCCATGTGTCATGTTGGTCAAGAATTGAATTATGGCGTCTGCCTTGAAAGTGCCCATAAAGTGCGATATATATGCTGCATGTAATATGTCCACAATTCGCCATTGACATGCTGCAAGACATGTCACCTCCTCGCCAATGTCAGTCGTGCTTCAGTGTTTGGCGTCGACGTAGCTATACGAAACTACTGCATCATTACGTTGCGCTCGATTTCGAGCTCTTTTGTGGACGACCCACGTGTTAAGAATCAATAGCACTGGGCATTCGATACGAGCGCATTATTCAGCATATTCGATGGCTTTTGCGAAACCGCGGTTGATGCAGCATCCGGGGGGTTCCGAGAGAAGGCATCCTGCACAGTGCGCACCAGCGCAACAGGACATCCGACTGTGCGTATCCAACAAATTGCGCTCGAGGGCGCATGCCTGAGGAGGGACCCGCATTCACAGATGGCGCTTTCTTCACCTGGGAAGCAGAACTTAGCGCAGCAGTGGAATTAACTCTGACCGGCAGGCAATACATTGGCGCAGGTGCGCAAAGAAGACTTGGCGCAAAGCGAAGGCATCCAATTCTCCACCGTGATCCAAGAAGCCACGAAGAGATACCGCCGGGGCGGGCCAGCCGATCAGGAGGCCAAGCGCTACTTCCCTTTCCCATCCCAGGTAGTGTGCGTCGAGGAATGCCTGCAGATCATCGTCCGCACGTTCATCGGGCGCTCGCTGCGGTGGTCCGAGCAGCACGAGTCCACCTTCGGAAATGGCGACAGGGAGGAGCCGGTGGCCGGGGACCAGCTGCGCTATTCGCGACCGACCTTCTTCGCGTCGCTCTCCGAGGAGCTCATTGGCTTGACGCCCGACGAGCGGTGGTGCATGCGGCACGCCCTCCACCACATCGGCAACATCGCCCGTTGCCACCCGGGGTGCCTCCCGAAGGGCCTCATCCGCGCGGAGGTGGAGTCGCTGCGCCTGGCCGTAAGGGACGGGGCCCTGGAGGGCGTGTGCATCCCGTGCCCTGACGATGCCGTGCCCCAGATCACATTCGTGCGGCCACCGTGCCTACCCCTGGGCCCCCAAGGAACGGCCACGGTGGAGGTGTCGCTGGGGCGCTGGCAGTCAAGCTGGAGGCTGCTGGTGGTACACAACGGAAGCCTCGCCGGGGAGTTTTCTTTCGCGGGTGGCTCTGAGGACACGGGGCAGGCGGGGGCTGGGGAGGGCCGGGTGGGCGGGAGCGAGGGGGACGCTGAGCTGGTTCTGCGCGTGGTGGTGGTGGTGAGGGAGACTGGATTGAAGATGATAAGGTAGGGGATCGCAAACGTGCATGTAAAACAAAGTAATGGAAGGTGAATATTTTGGTGACGTTTGGCAGAAAATTTCCAAAGTCATCTGGCCGGCCGTAAGAAGCCTGCCTGTCGAAGAGTACAATGAAATGTTTAAAAAGCATTATTCTTTGTGTTTTCAAAATGTTTGCAGGCATCATATCTTAGGTAGGTCTTTTCAGCTGTTTTGCCGAGTGGCCTTGGGAACCGTTCTAATGATTCTAGTGACATGGCTAGAAATATTATTCTTCGCTGGTGTGTTAGCTTTAGTTGGTGCAGGGGATTCAATGGAGCGAGCATAGCACTGTCTGCTGTTCCACAGAAATCTGTGCATGTTATATACTTATTATTTGATAATTTTAAGGGAAAATGAAAAAAGGGGGTGCCTCTGTGAGATATCTTGACAAAAGGGGGTCCTCCGCGGGGGGTGCATACGACAAAAGGGGGTCCTTTGGCCGGCCCCTGTACATTAGGCGCGTTGCGAGACTGGCGCCAAACCGGCGCCAGACCGACGCCATACCGGCGCCAGTATGGCGCCAGACTGGACCACGGTCCTACTAGGGGCGACCCCTCTGTGTCGCCGCTTGATCTCCCTGCAGCCCCGATCGCCGCTTGGTCCCCCCAACAGCTCCGTTCGCTACGACTCCCTCCCCCAACTCCGACCGTTGTGTGCTCTTTGCCCCCTCCCAGAGGGGTCGCCCCTATCAGGACCGTGGTCCAGTCTGGCGCCATACTGGTGCCGGTATGGCGTCGGTCTGGCGCCGGTCTGGCAATGCGCCTAATGTACAGGGGGGGATCAAAGGACCCCCTCTTGTCACAGAGGACCCCCTTTTTTCAAGATATCTCATGGAGGACCCCCCTTTTGTCATTTTACCTTATTTTAATATGGATATACATTTTCAAGACTGCCAACCTCTGCCGATATCGGACAATTTCCATGTATTCGGTTTGTTCATTGTGAGAGAACGGAGGATCTGGGTTCAGTGGGGAAAGGGGCGAAAATTAAATATTCCGAGTGCGAAAGCTGTACCCCAACAATGCATCCCCAGTCCTGGGGCTGGCGGACCGGGTGGGACCGAAGGTTCAAATGCATGAATAGAAAAGTGGATTATTTGCACAATATGAAAATGAGCGTTTGTTTTCATTGCTCAAAATAGAAATACGTAATTAGGACACCAAATACGCAAATCGCTGAAAGAAAATGAAAGCGGGCAAAACTAATGTGGACGGGAATAGGGGAATAACAGGCGCAATGAAAATTGGACATATACAGACAAAATGAATAAAGTAAGCACGGACAAATGAATGATAAGTTTTAGCGAATGCACATATCCGTAATGACAAGCGGTTGAAGATGATTAGTGCTAAGTAGTAATTAATTGCTGTGGACTAATGCTGAAAGTCATCGGGACCTACGTTGAATGCCTCGTGCTCGCTGCGTTTGGAAGCAGAATAGATGGATGCACTATCAGTACATTCACGTGTATTGGATATTCCCCTCCATGATGGAGGACACACGGTGTTTCGAAACAGGACAGGCAATCGACCAAAACGGCCTCACAAGGATCTAATCACCGTGTTGTTACACTGATGATTGTGAAAACACACTATTTGGTCATTTCCGTGGTGGCTATTAAATAATAGTAATGGCTGCAAAAATACTGGGCAGTGTTTTAACACCGCGTAATACTTCTCTAGCCATTACTTCTAAAAAGCAGTAGCAATGGCGAAGTTTTCATGGCGATGGCGCTGAATGACAAACATTTGGTCCTTTCACTTCCTTAAAGGATTCTGAGTTCAAATCCGCTCATGCCCGACACGGCAGCCCTGTGTGAAACCGGCGCCGATTTCCCGAACGGCGATTCTAAAACCAGTCCAATACAAAATCCAAAATCCTCGAGCAAAAACACCCTCTGAGGAACAATGAATAAAATCATGGTCGCGCACCCTGCGCTGACGCCACTTGGCCCCTTCAATAGCAGCCGGGGGTTGGTGGCCATTGTGGACGATATGTCCACTGACAAATGAACAGTACTATTGATTGCATTTGGCTATGCTGAGCGCTCATGCGGCGTTTGACAGGAAGCGACGAGCACATCGTTTGCCGGTCGTTGTTTCAAAGCAACATGATACACGATGCACAAGGACTTGTTGGGAGAGATTCATGGGGGATCGCGGGTTTTAGTAAGGAGGAAATTTCGCAGGGCAAGAGAGCTTACGTTTGAGAAAAGGATGGCGGAAAAAACATTTGCGCATTTGATGGTATTAAGTCAGAGGCAACATACAAGACAGTTTATGCACTGCCAACATTGTGGCTCTAGAAAATCCACTAAGGCGCGCCTTCCGCTTTCTTTCAAGAGCTATGACCATGCCCATCTCTCGATTTTAAATACGGCAGTGGGTGTGATTTCATGCAAATTTCCTCCGGTTTTGGTTGTCGAATGGCCTCCTCCCAATCCAACCTGGCACTTGAGTGTTTCCTCCCTGCAGTTCAAGCCCAATTCGCACCGCACAAGATGGCCAAAGAGAAGTTTCAGCACAGTGCCTTATGTTCTGCAGACAGCTTTACTGTTTGGCCTTAACGTCTCCATTTCAGCACTCACTTTGGCCAGTGCTGTCATGCGACAGGAGCGTGAATCTTGGAGAAAACATCCCTGGCACGGTGATCTTCACGGTCGTTGGCCATCCGGGCAGCTCCACGCCCTCCGTCAGCACCTCCACCCCACTGCTGGTCCTGTATCCAGACGCTGCACAAGAAATCAACCGCGTCTTCGCGAAAATGGTGGAGAGGATGGAGGCACGCCACGGCGGCGGTCCATGCGCCGGGGACGCCATGGCTCGCACCTGGCGCACCTGCTTCAAGAATCTGGCCGTGGACATTGAGTACCTCATGGCGTCCCTGCCGCTCTGGCGGGAGTGGAAGGGCGGCGACGGGCGGACTCAGGAGCAATGCCACGAGACGCTGGAAAAAGTTTCTGAGGTAATTGTCGATGCAGCGCTGCGTGTATGCGCTAAGCGCTATTTTCGCCAATACTATTGTTCCTGCTGTTGCCAGTTGATTGATTTCTAGAACATCAGCAATATATTGTTTCCCAATTGGTCTTTGAGGCGGAACATTGCGTTTACCCATTCATTTTAATGAATTTATTCAGATGTGTCGATTATTTGCGGATTCCCCCATGACGGACCACGCTTCACCTTGCTAATAGCTCAGATTCAGTATGCACAGGTGGTTTAAGCATTGCGGTAAGGATTGGATCATAGGATAGCAGATTAGAATTGCGGCAACAGGGCTCGTGACGGTCATGGTCCCATGCGCGTGATGGCCGTGTCTCAAGCATCGGCCACCGGATCCTCACCAGCGGAAAACGGATTATTGTGGCGGAACGCCATTGCGAAGGTTGACGATGTTTCGATCTCGACTTGCTTTCGTAATAGCCAGCAAATACTGTAGTCAGCCTCAGCGATGCCAACTCATGCTCTGTGACTTGCGCCGCGACCGCGTATAGTGTGGAAATTCGCGCAGACCACTTCCCTTGAATCGAAATTTCTTGAACGACATTCAAGAAGGACATGGCGCTTGGAAATCCTCTTTGGATTTGCGGCTTTCAACGCGCATGCTTTCTGCATTGAGCCCTCCTTCCCTTTCCCTTCATTGCAGTATCTGGCCAGGAACCATATGTGGGAGACCATCGCTTTCCTGTTGAAGACATTCGTCCAGGGCTCCGGTACCATCTGCGTCATGGACAAGCCCCTGTCAGGGGACCAGCTGACGACCAGCTTGCTTAAGTGCGTGTACGCCATGACCTCCCAGATGAAGCCAAACCCCAATAGGTCCAATTTTCAGTGCAATGCCGCGTACGAAAACAGAGCCCAGGGCCGCCGCCCGGGAGCATGCCTCCCGACCTGGATGTCCCGAGTGTCCGCGGAAGATTTCGCTGCACTGCTGCACGAGAAAACCCAACGTGATTATCGCGAAGAGATGAAGGACCGAATGGAGTCCTGGGTTGCGGACACCATGGCAGCTTGCGGCTTTGAGGATGGCGGGCCGTCCAGCCGCGAGGCGCCCTCTAGGAGTCAGGACCAGTCTGTTGAGCCCAGCGCTCTGACAACTACGGCGCGGCAGCTGCCTGGGCGCGTTCGAAAGGGGTGGGGAGTTTTGCGGTGCGTCGGGGCGGTCGTTGAGGCAAGGGAATCGGTGTTTGGATTCCAGTGCCAGTCTTTGGAGGCCAGCTACCACAGGTAACGCGGGTTGCCTCTGAATCCAGTTTGGTATGGTTCTGCCCTCCCCTTTGTATCCTGAATTCTATACGGAAATGAGCAGCCCGCTCCTGCATGAGCTCAGTGCGGAAGTGCGCAAATCCTGCATGACTTCGAATGGAGCAAATTCTGAAAATATCGCCCTTCTCGAGAATGCTGACACAGGGATTGTCAAATGGCGATATTTGTTTGCACCACTTTTTTCCCGGAAGGGTTTGGTCACCTTTCAAGTCAAAGCCAAATTTCGGGAAGTTGAATCAAACGGGCTGCCTACCGCAGGTACGTGAACAGGGAACGGGCCGTCGTGGACTTGGCGATGGTGACAGCCAGGCTGGCGTCCTGCGCACTGTTGGCATCCCAGGTGGATGATGCCGGCAGACACCTTCCACAAATTTTGACTTGGAATTTGATAGGCCCCATGCTTTTGGTGATGCTTATGGTGTGGGGGGACGCATACGAAAAGAGGAGGGAGCGGGTGGCGATAAGCATCCGCGTGGTGAAGGTGTGCTCGACAGTGGCGCTGCGGATGAATTGGGGGCTCTCGGGCGGAATTCCGGGAAAGGTCGCCATCAATGCAGGCCAGCTGATATGGGAGGCTTTGGTGTTCCCCGTGTGGCTGCAGGTGAGGCGTACGTCAACGACACGTTACAGTCATGATGCGTTCGCATAATCTTCATTTCCTAGGTGGCCTGCATAGGATCGTTCAATTGTTGATTCTTAAACTAGACAGCGTTCAAGTGCACAGCCATGCCCCAGCCTTGTAAACCTAGATGTACAGGCGCAGCTCTTTCCGCATCTCCGGACGTGCAACACTGCGATATGAACTGCCAATAGATGTCTATACGGCTGAGGAGAAAGATGGGAGCACCACGCCGTTGACGCGCAGCACACCGACCGGGGAAACTGATAACTGATATGCAGTAGCGAGAACTTCTGTATCGAAAATGGCAGCCAATGGAAGGGCAAGCGGGGTGGTGTTGGGAGGCAAGCGCGGTTGTTGGGCAATTGCGCCCTTTAGAGAATAATGGCATGGCAAATGACAGATGACTTCTCGAGAAAATCGTTTGAATTTGTGTGAGGAGGGCGCCTTGGTCAGCCCTGTGAACAGGTGAATCCAACCGAATGCGTTCCACACTGGAATTTGCAACCAACAGTGGATAGATTCACAGTTCTTACGCTGGGCATGCACCACAATGTAGTTCGAAATCGGAATCGGAACTGGGTCGTCCATCAGATCAATCTATCCAAAGCACGATACATTGGGACTACACCGCTTTGCAGCGCTTGGTATATCTGCGTGTGCACGCGATTCGCAGTGGCAAATGTACGATACTCTTGGTTTCTGGTGAGAAGGCATGATGCTCTGAGTTTATGGAAGTTATGGGCTTAGAACACTGGTGCGTGCTCGCCAGGGCTAGATTAGTATTCACGAAATGAAATCCTAAATGCCGGGCCCAAAGCACTCCAACCCCGCACCCTTCATGCCCTTCTTAACCTCAATTGTCACAATATTCGGCAATAACAGCTAGCGAAGAGACCTCACTGCTGTGGGCACATGCTCCTGCCTTCCAATGAAATGGTCCAAGCTAAATTTATGCATGGGGCGTCGAAATGTGCCAGTAGACCGGCGTTCAGACACAGGTGGGGTCAAAGAGGCCATGGGAACCTTATGGAATGAACAGAAATTGCAGGGCGAGCAAGAACAGATTGAAGGGCGAGGAAAAGGGCAAACTCTGATTATACTTACTCTGATTATGATTTATCAAGGCGACAAGCGAACCGTTCGTACGAAATTGCACACCGAGCATTTGAATTAACATTTGGAATAGAAGTCCAAAAGAAGATTTCGAAATCAAATTAAAATGTATCCTTGCACAGGTCAGTTTGAGGGCACAACTCGTCCTGGGGCTGCCCGAGGCGCTGCTGATGGCAAATTCGTGCTGGAGGACATCTGGTGGCCTGTGCCGACATGAATGGCTCCCGGCGGTGACATCTTATGCTGCGTCCTGCGCGGCGGTGTTCGCCGTCGAGTGCCTTTTCCGGCGAGCGTTCCTTGAGGTCCAAGTCAGGGGAAATTCTAAGTGACTGTAATGAATGATGTCCGGCGAAGACAACCGGCGTCCTGCCTCAATGACCGCTCGATTGAGTGATTCGGGGATGATTTAATTGATTGGCGAAACGCGCCAAGATTGTACTTTCTGTTGATTGGCTGTATTTGGACAAGAAATATAAAAGAATGTGAAGTATGCGGCTGCCAGAGTGGAAGCTGGGTTCGATCATACACTGAAGCAATTGATATTGACGATAATGAATGAAAAGTTGGAAAAGAAGAAAGTTGAAATCAAGAAGGAGGGTTTCTGCACGTCTGTTGTGTCATTTGAGATTTTAATCGCGGAGACAGTTTTGTTATCTGGGTGCTCTATTGGGCCTCTTGAAAAGCCGCATTGGTCCAGTTGACCGATTGGCTCTAGCCAAGTACAGCATTGCAGCTCTTCTTCGTGCCAGCAAAGCACTGCGATCTGTGAGAAAAACAAGTAATGTGCACTTTCCTGTTGCTCAGAAAACTTGTCGCAACTGCACTCACAACATTTCCTTTTTGTGGAACATATCACACTTCAATTGGACTACGTGCACACCAGTGATCACGAACGCAGAAGACCTCTGAACGTTCAAAATCATATTCGAAGTGACGTAAATAGCATTACTATTAGGGTAGTGGTATTAGGGTATTAGGGTATTGGGGTACTTAGTACTTCCTCCGTCCCATATTAAATGTCCTCTATTTGAAGTAAAAAATTCATTACAAGAAAGGCTTCAAAAGTATAAAGCAAGATCAGAATCAGAAAGATTGGGTCCCAAAACCCCTAACTACCAATTTTTGAGGGAAAAACGTCAGTCCCACTCGTTGAAGGGCACCCTCGAAATTGCCCTTGAATTCGGAAAAAAAAATAGGCGCGCCGATTCCAATTCCGCTGGATATCCGCACGGTTCTGGGTCACTCCCGCCCCGGGCGACCAAGGGAATGGCTTCGCCACTGCCGCGGTGAAGGGCGGCATCCCTTGCACGGAATAGCGCTGGTCAAACACAGCTGGCGGTATTTGGATCGTCGTTGCCGAAGGCCATCGTCGCAATGTCGACGATGCCAGAATTCGCTGCGACCCTAGATCCGAGATGCAAGGACCTGCCACCAACTAAATAAGCCAAGATTCGGGCGCTCATGCCAGCCCCCTGTGCGCTGCACCACTCCAAGGTATTTGTGTGGCTCGGCATGGGCATCTTTCCTCAATTGATCCTTGAATCGAGGCCTTCCCGGGCAGCTTGGCCCACGATCCATGAGATGCCACCAGCAACCACCTCTTTTGTGTGGTCCACTATCCATCACCATCTAGCTAGTCTCCGTTCATGAAAGAAACATGGCGTTAGCCATCTAGCCATTTGCCTCGTGCCCAGCCATTTCAAATTTGACAACAAACCCAATTTCGCCAATTTCGCATTGACAACAATATTGACAATTCCCAGAATCGGCCGCCGTTGAATGCAGTGCTGGGCTTCACCTTCTCCGCCACCTTGTCAGGGGATTTCAGAGTCACCCTCTATTGTTTTGACAGCACCAACAGGGGCCGAAAGGTCCTGGCCCCCAAAATTTGGGGCCAGAAGTTAGCTCCGGTCCACCAGCCCAGCACTGAATTTCAGCTCTAAGCTACGGCGAGCTACACGATCAGGGCCTTCGGAACGCGATTCCTATCTCCGCACTTCCTCACAAGCACCACGCCAATCTTCTATCTCAATGGCGTGGACAGTTTTGCACGGGCGGCTCTGTTTCGCCGCCGCGAACGCATGCTCCTCGAAACAGCAAAACGGCCGTTTTCGCGAAATCGTTGAAAAACCGATGGGTTTCTGGCAAGAGGACCCTTGCTACAAAGTACTGCCAAATCATCAATACTTAACAGATTGACTTCAAATTTTGACCGTATACTCTCAAAATGTAGGTACAGCTTTGGCAGAATCTCACTAAAAAAACTATAATATGTGATGGAGAAATGATGCGCCAAATTCGTAGAGGACATTTAATATGGGACGGAGGAAGTATTATTCATTATTTACTATTAAATAGTATTTACTATGAGGTATTTACTGAATACCTCATCAGAACTCCTAACAGCAATAATTCCTGCCAAAATTGATAGTTTCTCCAACTGCGCGAGAACGGAATGTTGCAGGGAAGCAGACTCTCACAGCTGCACGTTGAACATTCGCTCCGTACTCCAGCGCTTCCCTATACACCTCCTATTGGGTGAAAGCCCAATAGAAAATGGTCTCGAATTTCGCCATAGTGACAGGCGCCATTGGAACCAGTGATGGGCACATGTAACAGGAAATACATCAATATGCTCAGCGGCCACTGGGCAAAAAGCTCCACAGAGTGCAGCCACTCACCATTCCCTTGGCTGTATTATGCCACATTGTATGGCTCACGCATCCACCGCTGGTCCACTCCCAACTGTTAAGTTCTTAACCTGTTAAACACTGTCAACTGTCGTATACAGCGCAACAGACTGCAGTCTAAACTAAGGAATGGCAGCAGTTGTGTTAATTTAGTGCAGCTGCACTAAATTAACACAACTGCTGCCATTCCTTAGTTTAGGGCTGTACAGCACACCGGTCCGTGCAACTCGCTCAGCAGATTTCCAGCAGGTGTGCAGAGCGGCTTTGGACCATGTGCCGGCTGGCTGTGACCTCAACTACGTACCCAATCTGTTTGTGCACCCTCTCAGGCGATACATCCAACTAAGTTGGCAATTTTCCTACAAATTCGGCACACAGTAGGACAAATATTTTGCCTTGTTGAGTCAGCGCGAGTGTGTTGCTCACCCAGAAAAAGTGCTGGGTGTTTCAGGATATGGTCCAATGTGCTGCCTAATTGCAGTTTAACGATGTGTTTTTTCCTCGCAGTTTGGCAACACTTGGCTCTTGTCCGTGTCAAAACCTCTGACGATTCTATGGTCTGTGTCATCCACTCCATGTTCAAATTCCAGTCATGTGCCTTACATCGAGTGCTAAGAAACTACGACTAGCGGTAATTCAGGTTTGGCCAATCCATTCCTCTGCTTGAACTGTCAGCAGGCGCAACAACCAGGCCTGCCATCTGGGTGGCAACAGCAGGAGTTGCCGGCATGGCCTTGGTCCAGAATCGGAACCGACCAACGGACCGCGTTCGGGAGCCCCAGACATTCCCAGCAACAGCAACTTTGGACAAGGGCAACTCGCCCCAATGCCCAGCGACAGAACAACCAATATAATCCCGATCCCCGACACTCCCACGACACGACACCGTCACCGGCCCCGTGACGCGGGACACGTAACGAACCACACTACGCCGTCACGCGCCGCTTTGGCTCGAAACCAAGATAGCATCACGCCCGCCAGTCATCCGCGCCTGTTCACACCCATCCAAAGCAAGCTCTTTCTCAGCTTCTGGTCAGTGCCCTCTCCGTCGCCACCCCCAAAGTACGGACAAAGTACAGACAAAGTACAGACAAAGTACAGACAAAGTGCAGACAACGTACAGACACCCCCCGCCGTGCCCATCAATCACCGCCTGGCGCCGGGCAAGGATGCATGACCAATCGGGCAGGCCCGGGATGCCCGCAAGCGTACATACGGCCCCCCTGGCACTTTACTCCTCAACCTAGTCGTCCTCCGGCCCCGCGGGCGCCTCCGCAGGTGCGCACGGGACCTCCTGGCCGGTCCCCCCCCCCCCTGGGCCACAGTCCGTTCAGCCCAGCTGCTCACAGGAAACGAGCCTGCCACGAGGCCGCCATTTGCGCCATGCCGGTGATCGCGGGCCGATAGGCGCGCCAGGGCCGCGCGCGGAACGTCAGGAGGCGCCCGGGGCCGCGCGGATCGGAAAGTCTCGCCCATCGGTTGAGGAGGGATTGCCTCTTGAGGTGGGTGGGGGGTGGGGAAGGACGTCATTGCGAAGTGGGGAGGCGTGAGCCCTCCATCTGCGCCAAGTTTTCTTGGCGCCATCGGAGGTAGCCCGAGACAAACATCGGCAGGCGCGAGGTTGCGAGTTTCGAATGGCTGAGCGGGTGCCGTGGAGTGGGTGGGGGGGTGGGGGTAGAGGATAGAGAATGGAGCAGATGGGGAGTGAATCCACTTCTGAGAGGAAACAAGGTCTCTAAGGGGACAAATCCCGAAGCAGGCACCCTGCAGAGACACTGCATGGGAAAAGACAATCTGAAGTCTGTAATGCAAAACAGAAATGGGCGCGGGGGGATTCCCTCGAGGAGGAGTAGGAAGTAGGAGAATGATAGAGGATCAACAGAACGAGAGCAACGTGAGCCCGGGAAATCCTGGCAATAGTAATGAGGCACTTGGATCAGCATTCATCCAGAACCTAAGGCGATAACAGAGTAGCAGTTGGTTGGGTCTGAAGGGAGGTGGGTCGCGCGCTTGGCTTGGCCCGGCCGTTGCCAGCGGCGATCGAGGGGCGCGGGCCGCCTGCCGAGGCTGGGAGTGCGCCGTGGCTCGTGGCGGGCGGGCGTTGCAAGGGCGTGTGGGCGCGCGGGGCCGCCTGGCGCGAATGGCATTGCCCTTCTGCGCTCCGTTGGGGCGCGATTTGCGCGATTCGAAGGCGCCGCGGCTGCCGGAGCGGGGGTGTCGACAGAGGGGAAGGGAGGTTCGCTGATCGGGGCCCGGGCGGAAGGCAGCTCGATCCCATGGTCGCGGCTTCGCCGCCGCGCTCGCGCGACGCGGCCCTGAGATTGTCGCCCCGCGCTCCGCCAGGTTCCGGCGCCGCCTAGGGTTTGGGATGCCGTCCCTTGAGGGCGTCACCCTGGCCCGGGTCGCTTTCGGGCGCCCATGCCCGCCGTCGGCTTGGAGGTTCCTGGGCGGCGCCCTCGCCACTTTCGGGCGTAGTTCCTTGACCCAGTCTCGCGCTCGGAAGGTGAACCGGGGCCCACGTTTTGGCGATCGAGTCCTTGTTCCAAAACTCAAGGTCCAATTGCGGGGCGGAGTCCGCGTTTTGGGGCAGCATCGGAGTGAGTTGGCTTTGTGGCATTGCCAGGTGGCGGGGGCGCGTCGCGGGCCGCAAGCAGGCGTGCTCCGGCATGGGGTGCATGTGCAGCAGGCCTCAAGTGCTGGAGCACTGGGCGCCGAAAGGTGAGGCGTTTGAGGGGTGAGGGAGGCGAATGGGACCCTGGACCCGCGCCTGTCTACGCTAACAGGGTGCAAGGAACCGCTTTGGCTTTGGAAGGCAACTTTAGGTGAAGGAAAGCATAGGAAGGTCATGTGATGTGGCCCACCTTCTGAGCAAGGTTGCTGTATCGATTGCTTCCCACAGTGCCTCACGCCAAGGGTCGCTCACCCTCTCCTGATCAAGAAGTTATATGGATTGCATTTCAAGCATGAGAAGGAGGTTGTGGCCCAATGAGAACAGTGAGAAACTCCCTTGTGGGCAAGGATTTGTGGAGCTCTGTATTGTGGCAGCGATGTGGACACAGATGCCGTCAAGCACAGCATGAAAATAACATGAGCAACATAGAGACAGGGACTCAGGGAAGGGGGGGGGGAGGAGGCGAAAATGCTTAGTCAGCATCTGGTGCTGTGCCCCAATAGTGTGGGTGGATGTTGGACGATGTTGGTGGTTTGGAAAGTATTCGATGGGTCTCTGACAGCTTGATATTGGGAACAGCAGGGAGGGGAGGACATCTCCAATCTTGCTTGAGTGGAAAAGGGGGGAGGGTTCCTGTTTGATGGTTGTCATGTCATATGCCATGTTGCATCACATGTTCCAAGAGCCACTGCAGATTAGTGATGCTGGGATGCCAGCCACAAATGGCCCCACAGCTGGTGTGATGGACAGGCCTGGTTCTTTGAGGGGGCTTGCTGACGTCGATCCTGGCAAGCTGACCCGTCAGCATCTTGCACAGTCATGCATGTTTTAGTTTTTCTTGGGGGCCAAGAAAATACATAAAAATAGAAAATTTAGAAAATATATATAGAGAGAATATGGAAAACTTATCTTAATATGGGCAGCCCTTCCTAAAAAGTAATCTTGCACTACCTTTGCCAGCACCAAAGAAAATGCAGTGCGCATCCTTTCCTGCAACCAAAAAACAACACACTGGTGTCGGCACATGTTCTACCCAACCCAGATGATCAGACAGCATCAGTCTGCACCGTAGCAAATGGTGCCAAAATGATGTACTACCTCCATTTCACAAGTCTTGTCCGTTATCCAATGTTGCCATAACTTTGCAATATCAACTCAGTTGGTAAATCTATCACCAGATTCGGATTCCTTGGTCGATTTTTGGGTATTGGGGATCTTGGTTACATTAATCATCACATACAGCAAGATCTGCACAGCCTTATCAAAGCGTCCCCATACATCTTCGTCAGGGCCTCAATTCCCATAGTTTTGCACTCGTCTTATCCCCGTGTGTCTCACCCTATTTCCCCGAAATTATTCAAGAACTTTATTGTAGGCAATAAATAAGCAATGCTACAAACTTTGCAGAATTTGGCATCGTCACAGTCACGCTCTCTGTGGACCATCTCTTCCGCTATGTTGACTCATGCCTTGAAATTGCCAATTTCAACGATTCGCAATGTTGTCACTAACCTAGGCGGTTCTCGGGTTAGCGGCAGTATGCACGGCCTTCCTAAACTTGTTGCACCGGTTAGTTCAATGCTATTGCACTAATCTAGGTGTCTTTTGGCCTCCAGCCACAACACACGCACAATTCCTGTTGACATCCAAAAATCTGCAGCAAGCCCGCATCTTTTGCTCTGTGGATTCAGTTTTGAACTTAGCCGACCGAATCTGCATTGTATACGAAACAACCACGCCATTCGTATTTCCTAGAGATGACTCAGGTCGATCCACCTCCTTCAAAGGGCAAGCCTAGGCACCCATACCCCGCTCTAGGTCCCGACGAAAGGAAAAGTGGCGTTTGTGCTCCCCTTAGCATATCTCAAAAATGGCATCACCGTTTTCTACGCTTAAGGGCTTTATAGATAGCTATCAACATGGCACATTGAAGTTGTTTTGATCGAATTTTTTGACTCGCACGTTTTGACTCCACTTGGGTGATTGGGATAATGGACAGGACTTTTGGAACAGAGGTAGTAGCAAATGGTCCCTTTGCGCGCAGGGAATGCCACACAATGCCCCCAGCCCTGCCCATGGCCATTGCTAGGATGCAGGGAAGGCGCATGTTTCTGAAACCATATCCTATGGGCCAACGAAGGGTTGTACTCACAGGGCTCTTCAGCAGTGGGCCCTATGACTAGGGAACATCGGCAAAGCTAGACACAGTCTCACACACAAGATTTGGTCCTGGTTGGGAACGCGGTGTATCACTGGGCCAGTGTTTGAGCACAGTTTGAGCAGGGGAGAAACTTTTGGAAAAGGCAACTGCTGCTGGCAGCATAAGGACCAGCCTGTGTTCACCTGCAAGGGTGATGTTCAACGTTGAGTTGGCAGTTGCAATCAAAGAGATTTGCCCTGTGAAAGCACCGTCACCAGCAATTTTGCAGTCTTGTGGACGTGTGCTGTGCAGCTGTCATGGCAGAAGTGCAGCCTGCGGCCAACCACCAGCATTGTCAGAAAAGCTGGGTAAAAAGGCAGCCTGGATGACTGTCAGTGTTTGCAGGTCCGACCGAACATCTGTGCCCTGAGCACAGTGTAGGCTGGCAACCAAGTTGTGCGTGCCAAGTGTGGGTTATGTTTTGGGATCTGTGGGCGATTGCACTGGTTTGCACCCAGCTTTCAGTGATATCCCAGCAGGATCCATTGGATGCCAACAAATTCCTTACCTCTATGGCCTAGTGGTGCCAGACCCATCAATTTCTGCGTGGCTAGGCTGTTTTAGAAACGTATGCAGCATGCAACTGCACGTAGTGGCGATCTGCTGAACACAATTTTGCTGGCAAGTTGTGGCACATCGTGTTACTCATAGCCTTATGTGATCTGTCGATGTTCATGAATGCAATCAGTGGAATACACATTTCTGTAAGGGGATCAATGGTCTATGCTGTTGTGTAACAGTATCTATCATTGGAATTAAGTCCGTCATCGCCTTTCATGTGCAAGGGCAGAGTTTGGTGCAATGCATTTGAGGAATGTATCGCACGATTCTGTTAAATGATCTGTCAGAAATGGCGATTGCCAAGACATCTGCTCAAGCAGGATACATTCCCAGCTGGGATTGTGTAGCCAGCGAGCACAGCTGTGTCATGTAGTACATTGCACTGTCCTGTAGTGTTGCACATTGTGCTGTGGAGTGCACCAGGGTGGCTCTGTCAACAACAATACAGTATGGGTCCCTATATAGTGCCCCCTTTTTGGCTTGTCACCATTTCTGTAGTACTTTACGCAGCTGGCTTCAAAAGCCAGTGTGGGCCTGGTAGGCTGGGTGTAGCATACACCCTACACCAGTGGCCTGGGTACCTCCTATACTGGCAGAGATACACCGGCAGCCATAGTACCCCCTACACTGGCGGCTGGGGTACCCTTTACACCTTAACACAATAGTGCCCCCCTTTTGGCAATGTCACAGGGGGCCGCTATATAGGGAAGCCTACCGCATTTGAGTGCTGCAACTTGCCGTGCGCAGAGGGATGAGCAACGTCTGTCAACCAATTCAAACAATCATCAGTTATTCTGCAACGAACAGCTATTAAATTGTGCGGTTGCATCTTGCAGCCAGACGCTGTGCAAGCACACAAGAGGGGGCAGACCGGAGGCCGCGATCCTTCTTGAGCCATGGGCATTCCCGGGACCTGAAGGCTCAGGCCAAAACCCACACCAAGGCCCAGTCCAGCCGTGTACTGTCTGTGCGGGAAGTGCTGGAGCTTGCCCAAGATGTGGTTATGGAAGGCTTCCGAGGTGGGACACCCAGACCGGCAATGGGCTGTCCTGCTGTATGAGAACAAATCTCATGCTTGTGAACGACAGGCAAACCAAGATTCGATGTTTGGGGGGCTGCAAAGGAGGCATTGTTGTTTCCATGGCAGTTGGTGTTGTTTTTGGCACGACTCATAACCATGGCAAGCAAGCAAAGCATGATTGGTACTGACAGTGCTGCTGATGATTAAGGTGTGAAGTCGCCACTGTTCCTTTTGCTTCAATTCTGCGTGGTCACGGTTCTCTGTTTGCAAAGACAGGTGCATCTTTCCGTGGTATTGATTCGTTCATAAAACTGTGCTCCATGATATTCGTCTTCTGCAGGATGACGCCATGCATATAGAGTAGCAGGTTGGCATTTGTGGTTTTGGGTGAACTTCTGTTGTCGCCACACTGTGCCCCATGCTTCATATGTTGGTGTACTTGTGGCCCAGGCTGCATTGACCCATTGACTGTTGCGGCCATTGCGCTCTTGGAGAGTGGTGGCAACGCGAAGGCTGTCCGATGGGAAGAGAGTGTGGGGGAGGCACGCCATGGATTGTGCATGGTACAAGACCCACATTCCCCAAACTGCTTTAGTGGTTTCACACCCCAAAATTGTTTCTTCATTCAGACTTCAGAACTACCTTTCTCACATGAGGGGCATGTTCCCCACTCCTGCAGCACCGATTGTGGCAAGTGCAGTACCAGTCCTGTACTCCAAGGACACAAAGGAATGGCACATTTCTCGCCACATTTGCAAAGGCAAATCAGCAGCATATTCTCCAGTACTCTCTTTGCTCTTGTATTTTGAATGTTTTCAGTACTTTAACTGCTTGGCAGCTTGACAGTCCCTTGCATGTGTGTTGTCTACAGATGCTCTTCTCCACAGCCCGTTGGCTCATGTCCCTGGGCCACAATGACTACATGGCAGGATCTGCAGCCAGCCTACAGGCACCCAAGACAGCGCTTTACTTTGGTGCTGCCTACCTCAACCACCTGTCGGGGCTCAATGGACAGCCTCAATCTGAGGAGTTTGTGGTAAGAAGACATCTTGTTTGCAGCATTGGACTCGTTTCTAAATTTGTGAATCTGTGTCTGGAATGCGCACCACAAAGTGTTGTCCAGGTGCCTTCAAAATGACTCAGAGCAGCAAGCATAACATCAACATTCACAGTAGTAACAGCAGCCAGGTTTTCAGCAACATGGTTGTATGCACTACAGCACCATCGTTAAATGTACAGGTTGCATCCGCTGTTGTGTTATGCTATACATAGCTCTGATAAGATTGTGGGAAGGATTCGTTGCACTTTGAATCTGACAGCTAATGCTGTAATTACCTGCAGGTACAGAGTTACCATATTGGTCCCAAGTCTGCTGACCAATGGGAAGCAGACTCCTCAACAGATGACTACTGGCGGCGGTATGTGCAGGCCAAGCGACAGCTGCAACGCCTGTATGATGCCATTGGCAATGGTGACGGGCCCAAGGGAGGAGAGGAGGCCGAGGAGCCGCTGATGCACATCGTTCAGAAGGGGGAGTCGCTCAAAGTCATTGCAAAGGCAAGAGATGCTCTTCAGTTGCAGTCAGTGTTCTAGCGGTTGACTGGGCACTTTGGTTCAATGCGTTGGTTGCATAACTCCTTGGCACAATTCTCTTGCTGCAGCTATGTGTGTTATTGCTGCAGCACATCAGTTGAAAGGCACAAGAAATTGTGGTCCTGCCCAGTGTGCAGTGGAATGGTACTCTGTTGACACAAAAGGTTGTTGTATTGGACACATCTCTTGAGGTTGAAAGTGGTTGAGGGTGCTAGGAAAACAAAAGGAGGGACAACAAAGCTGCCAATCAGAAGCAATAAAAGAACACGAAGAGATCCTGTAAATTCCGTGGATTGCAGTTCCCAGACTGGCAATGGCAGACAAACCCCTTGGAACCTGCAGTCAATAACGGACGCAGAAAATTCCCTCACTGGTTCAATTATGTGAGATCATCGCTCCACATGCCACTCTCATGACTCTGTGCAGTATCTTTGCCTTCCCCCAGGCATGCGGTAGCAGTGTGGCTGACATCCTGTGCGCCAACCCAGAACTGAGCGATGCCAAGTGCTTGCGGCCAGGTGACTGCATCGAGGTGCCGCAGCAGGTGTGGCAAAGTCCGACCAACCGCTGTGCGCACTTGTGTGTTGGATTGCTGAACAAGTGCTCATTGTGCCTATGGTGAATTTTGGCACCAAAATTGCTTGGAATCAACAGTGTGGTTTGCAACCTAGGGTACATGTGAAGGTGACACGATTTGGTCCTTCTGAAGCAAGGAAATCGGAGTGGTGCTGCTGATGCTACTGCTACAGGATTTTGAGCAGTTTGGCACTGCTTGAACACAGGCTCAATGTGCATGAAATGAGTCCGTTTTTGCCAACATTTCTGACACGATCAGGGTTGGCCAGTCCTTTCTGTTGGAGCAGCGCTCAACTGGAATCTTCAGACAGATGGATTGTTTGCATGGCCTGTTGCTCACCACCTTCTGTTATTTGTTTAAATTGAGAATTTTGGCTGATTGGCAGATCGATTGACTGGGCCGTGTCATTGTTCTTTGATCCATTTGTTTGTTTGGTCGTTGTGCTCTTGCCAGGCTCTCTGGCCACGCTTGTACGCTGTGCAATCTGGTGACAGCATGGCATCCATAGCACGTCGCCATGATGTGTCACTTATGCGCCTGCTCAAGGTCAGCTGGGTCCTGAGGCATCCCCCTGAGGCCGTTGAATTCTGCACCTGTTTGCGTTTACCGCCATTTGGACAACACTTGCTTTGCACCTGCCAGGGCTATCTGGGACACTTATTATGTCAGCAAAATATCTGTCCTTTGGTTTTGTCGCATTTGCAGCCTGTCAGTGCCAATTCACTGTTTGGTGTTCTTCATGGTACATGCAGTGGTAGTTCTTTAGCATTGCTGCTGGGCTGTGTCCTAGTGCATGGTGCCCTACTGGCACAGATGGAAAGTGGCCCCCAAAACACAACCAAGACATCATTATTTGGTCCGGATGAAACACGATTCGCACTGCTAGTGCATAGTACATCACTGTTACATGCTGGACTATTAACAAGCCATTTTCGGCAATTGAGTACGATTTAAACACTATATGATTTTCGTGTAATCGTCGTTTATTTTACCAGTGTGAGGGTGCTTATCGTTTCAGTGCCCTTGTACTGCTGCTTATGTGTTTCAGTACTCTGCTACTATGGCATATATGTATATTTTGCTTGCATGTGTATTTGGAAAACGACTTCATATCTGACATTCCTTTGGAATCGGCACCATCACGTCTATTGCTGTCGATGGTGATGCTAACTCTGACAACAGACAATACGTCAGATTATAAACTCTGATATGTATTATTGCTGATAAAGTGAAATTCGAAACTCGTGAGATGCAAATGTGTTGGAATTCTTTTGGAAAGTATTGTGACCAGAGCCCAAAATTCAGGTATCAAAGTTTGGAAATGTTGATGTTGCAAAATGGAAAGGATGCATTTGTCTGTGCCTAGAAGTGCCGGTTACAATGGCCTGGGAAACATCCTGATGACTTGGATTGAAATCAGCGATCACGTGATGGCATTGGCCATGTGTAAGTTTTCCTGGTTTTCAAAGGTGAACCCTGACATCAAGGGCCAGGCCCACCTGCAGCCAGGCTGGGTGCTGTCCCTCCCTGGGCTGCGGGGTACGACCTGTGAAGCTGAGGACACCCTAGATTCTAGAGACCTCACATCGTCGGACAGCGGCCTGTCTTTCCTTGCGGCGATGGCTGGCAAGCATGGGATGTCTATTGAGGAGGGCCACCATGGTGATAGCAGTGGAATTCATTGTTCTCTTGATGGCATTGGCTTCCGGAGGCCGCACGAGGGCATTGCACGCCTGGGAGCCAGGTTGAATGCATTGAGGGCCAGGGGCTTGAGGGCTTGATAGTGCCTTGTGTGCAGGCAAGTGTGGCAGTGGCAGAGCATTGAACAATGCAGTACACATGCAGTGCAGTACAGTGCATGTCAGTGACGTGTCAATGCAGGTGGTGGTGCACTTCCCGGAGCTCTGTTGCAGGCCAGGGTGGCCAGGATTCAGTGCACTCACAGTAGTGCTGAGGGGCTGCATGGACTGTTGGTCCGAATGGCTACATGGGCATCTTTCCCAGTGCTGTGCCTGGAGATTAGAAATGGCTTCAAGATTCAACGAGTCTCGGGGGGAACAAACAGCCTGATGGCAGCATTCTCTCCTGCAAAGTACTTCCTGTGCATCACTGAGAATGAGTGGCGCATTGCTGTGCGCAGTTCACCATGTTGCACATTCAGCCAGCACTGGGGCTCGTTGAAAACAAACCATGGCACCACCATGGCATATCAAGCTGGATGCTGGTGCGAATGGCGCACGGGCCTGCCCAGGCATCGCTCCCTTTTCCAGGCAAAGTGCCCTCAAGAGTTTTCTACACATGCATTGACTGCTTGCTGGCGGAGACTGCCCTCTGCGAGGTCCCTGCGCACGTCCCTGGGCAGCATGGGCGCTGCACTAGGGTGATTTGACTTGACACACGATTTGAGACGTCAGCCTACATCGTTGGAGGTTGCATGTTCTGTGGAGTGGAAACAGTGCTCTTGGGGAAATGATTGTTAAATGGAAACGGATTGAATGTTTGGACCTAGTGTATCCATCGCTGACGACTCATGGAACGATGGAATGGGCAAAGTCTTGACAGAAGAGACATGGCTGAATTTGCGTTGGTATTTGTCCGAAGTCTTTATCGACCTTGCCTTGAAACTTGGCATAGTCTATTGTGGGCATTGTTAGGGAAATTGATGCATTGCCCCGTTTTCACTTGCACTGTTTTTCCAGAACTGGATTGACTCTCCAAGGACTCTAGGTGCAGGTTTTAAGGGACAGGTGTTAGGGCTGTTGTCTGTTCACAGAAATCTTTGCATTCTTGTACCATAAAGTCCTAGTGCAAGTGACAGTGTCATGAGTTTCAGCTTCTGGATTTGAAGCATGGCTTACCCTGGCGCCCTGTGGGGTGCATTCTGTCCACCTAGGCTGTGGATCGTCAAGCACGATGTGGCACTTGAATTAGGTCGGGGAACGTTCGACACTGATACAAGGCTGATATCTGGTACACTTGCAAGGATGTGCTGTCTGACTTGCAGCCAGCTTGCCTAAAATGCAGCCGTTCGATCTCTGACTCATTTTTAAGAATGCGAATAAACTTGAAATGCTAGGATGCAGCTGAATCTAGGATGACGCGTGGTGATGGTGTATTGTAGGACTCGTGCGGGGCACATAGATTACAGTGGAGGCAGTGTTTTTGTTAAGGGCTTGTTGAGGCGTGTGTTTCCTAGGGGTAAGGGGATCGGTAATCAAGGTCTTGGGCAAGCTTTCGAAGAATGCTTAAGGGTAGTTGTGATGGTGGCTTGGAGCTCTAACAGCACGAACGGTAACAATTTAGCACAGGAGTTTCGCATGGGTGGCGCTCGTCGAAGAGAAGAACAGATACCTTATTCAACCCTTCCGCATCATACAATTTTACCGTTATGCTTTTTGCTCGGCTTTTGTTTTTCAGAGCGTTGTTTCTATTTTTCTACGTTGCTCCGGCAAAATCACATTAAAAGAGCACCACTTATTTTATCGTTTTCTCTGCAAAAAGCCTTGTGTTACTGTGCAGAAGGTATGAATATATTACAATATGTGATGGGCTTGTGGAGAAGGCATGCGTTTACAATGGGATGGGCTGCCTTTGGAACGATGTGTGCTTCTCTTCCCTGCATTGTGGAGCTCGCCAATTGGCCAATGTGCATCCTGCTTTGTCTCGCCTTTCTGCGCTGACACCACAGAGCAGGCTTGTTTTTAGTGCTGTAAGGACTATTTACGTTTTATGCGTAAAGATAGTTTTTACGTTTTTACGTGTAAAAGCGCGAAAAATACGTAAATGCTACGTAAACACAGCCCCATGTACATAAGGACAGAACACAGACTTGGGGAGTCCGGGGAGTGGCAGTCAGACGCGCTGGAATGGGTAGAATACGAATATTGGTTCCATGCCATCGCTGCTATTGCCGAGGGTGGGGTGGGCACTGTGTTGCGGGTGTTGGAGATGGCCGAGGACTGATCGTTGTACACAACTTTTGTCGTGTAAACTGGCTGTCTCAACGAGCCACAAAAACGTAAAAATAGCTGGCAAAATAGCCCCTTTCGCAAATTTGCGTTTTTACGTGTAAACATGTAGACGTAAACTTAAAAACCAAGCCTGCCACAGGGTGCACATCGATTGGCGACATGAACCAGCACAAATTGCTCTTTCGCTAGCCCGCTCCTTCAGAATTCTGATTGCGATTGTTGAATTCCGATCGTTGACGCTTCAGCATCATTGTAACCCAGAACGGCTTGTGCGCGCTTTGGTAAAGCTGTACAGCTTTCGCATGCAAGACAAACGTGCCTCTATGCTGGCCCCAACCCCAAAACACGAATGGTAGCTCCCACAGCAAGAGAGCCAGTGGTCTTGCCGCAGTGGGTGGGTTGAAGGCAGGCTCCCTGCGGGCCATGATATTCAAGGCCTACGAGCCTTGTTGTAAACCATTAGCAACCTGTCCCATTCTTGCACCACCATGCCCATCGTGCTTCATGGTCACGATGGGCCATCAATAGGCCCACTGCTCAATATTGGCCTTTCAGGCATACCTGAATCACCGCTCACAACGGTGTCCTACGTAGACGCCTACATAGGCGTTTTGGCAAAAAGGGCCGTCTGGAACAACGATGGTACCGCTGTGAGCGGTCAGCATGCTGTTGTGCACATCATTCTGGCAGACGACAACCCAACCAACGTGCCGCAGCCGTACAGCCATTTTTGGTCCATGAGTGCATGGACAAGAATTGTCGGTGATGATGATGCGATGAGCTCTGCACGAAGCTGCGGTTGAGTTGCAGCATTCTACATTTGTAAGTATTGAATTAGTGGACGGACCATCTGTCTACAAATTAGCCCAGCGGTAATTCAAGGATGGAGGCCCTTTCGCGAATTATTATTGATGGCAATTCGCGCACAGACAGCCTGTCCATCTGCGAGTCAGCTTATTTGCAGACACGGACAGATGATGCCGCCTGCGTCCGTCAATTTACAGATGGTCTGTGCGTTCGCAAACTGTGAAGACACCTTCGGAATTCTCGGTCTGTGTCTGGCTTCATCGCCCATACGTGCTACCCTGTCGTTCGCCGGATCAGATCGGGGCTCGGCACGGGATCAGGCAAAGTACATATAAAGTATCTATAAAGTATTGTTCGATGAGCCTGCAAAATGGCCCGTTTCACAAGTCATCTTTGCTGTGAAGGGCCATCAAAAATGAGTAAAAAGTGTTAGAAATGCAATCAGCATACTAAGCAAAAAAAGAAAACCAAAAGAAAAGGAAGAAAGAGCAGCTAAGTACCCGGAATATTCGGGAAAGGCTGCCAAAATTTTTCCAGATCATTGGCAATAGTCTAGGCATATGACAAGAGAACCGGGGAAGTGAAAGGTTGAGCCATGTGGATGCCATGGCACCCCGCTGCCCTCCTGTGTGTCCTGTACCCTCGATGGATTCTGTGGCCTCCTGCTAGCATGATCTCCTGCGCGGATGGAGAACCATGCTATCCAAGTTTGTGGAACCTGCCAACGCCAAGGCAACTTGATGGGAGGTCGTGCGGCCCCTCCCAATCGCGATTCGCCGGGAGATTGAGTTCATCATGCAGCGGGTGAGGACGCTGGAGGGGGGAGTTCCGTTCTCCCTCGCTCAGCCGTTCGACATGGATATTTGGAGAGATGAGCAGGATTTACTGCAACGGAGAGAGTGGGGAGTTGATTCCTAAGTGCAGGAGGGGTATGGAGTGGGGGCGGTGGAGCCAAAGGTGCTGGAGGGAGCGCAGGAGCAGGTAGAATTCACCAGAGAAATTGCTGCTGCGGGGAGAGAACATTGGCAGCCGACGGGGTCCATGAAATTTCGAGAAGTGCTGCGCGCCATTGGGGAATGGGTGTGCTGCCATTGGGTACAAGTTGAGGAATTTGGAATCATCCAGAACACCACCATAGAGAATTTGTTGGAGTCGAAGGTTGCGATTAGGATACAGCAATAGTGCGGACAGCGGTGGATTCAAGAGTGCGCGGATGGGAATGGGCGCTTGAGGAACCCCGCGCAGCTCTAGGATTTTCTTTTTGAGAATCACCACGATTCAGTTATGTTTTATAGCCTAGTTTTGTGCCCTGAAATGCGTGAATTCACAGTCCAAACAGACTGAGAGGGGTGTGCGGAATGTGCTGTGCGATTTTAGACCAAGGGAGTGTGCATGGGAATCGAAGTGCTGGTCAAATTTTGCTTTTGCATGGCGGTCTGTTGAGCAGTCCCCGGGGGAGTTTTTGACCAGTTTCCAAAGGAGTTTCTGAACGCTTTCACTTGGAACCTGTTCATGTCGCCAATAATGCTTACACTCTACAATGTAACGCACACAGTGACTGGCTCCCCATTGAGGCAAAACTTAAGATGTCCACACTGGCACAATGGCTCAATTTATGTTTAAGATAATTTGACAAGGAGTTTTAATGATTTATATGATTTGGATGATATAATTTGGCGATAAAAAACATGATCATTAGATTGCTTGCGTCATTCTTATGAATTTTGATATATTATGTTAAATAACAATCATTTAGGTTATTAAACTCATTCAAATCATTTAGTATAATGATCAGTCATCTATATTCATCATCATAGGCGAGTTTGAAATGGCATGGGGTCACACACACTGGACTATATGTGTGAACTTGGTGGCACTGGGTCGTTGGGCATGGTGCAGCATGTGCATTCCATAAGGATGGTGGCAATGGTGTGATGGATTGGGATGAGAGCGTGTCACCGTGCTGCCAACCTTGGCAACGTGTGTGGGTGCCGTGGGGTGCTGTGGGTACTGTGGGAGAAGTGTGGAAAGAGCAATAGGGTGTAAATATGATGGTGACTATTGTTGTGCATGGGATAAGGGAAAATAGTGATATAGTAACGGAATAGTGTCACTAAGAGATGTATGTGATGAATTCTGGCGAGTGTGCGGGATTCTGATGAGAAGGGAGGATATTCTAGGTGCAATATGTAAACTCGTAGTGTTATATGGCATTTGAATCGGGTAGTTCTGTAGGAAGTGTATTTAGAGGGAAATGGGGTGAGGTGGCCAGTAGGATAAGGAATAGGGTATTGTGGTGTAAGGGTTTTTGTTATAGTGCTAGGCAGTGGTGTTATGGAGCTATGGCAGAGGATAAAAGGGGGGCCGCTGGTCCATCTGCGAATTGCGCCAAGCACTAGCACACCCCCGATTCTGGGCCCAGGGGACCAACAAGGAACCTAAAACAGGCCTAAGTATGAAAGCAGCAAGAAGGACCTAGAATTGGGCCTCGGGACCAACCACACAAATTGTTCAGCGGGCGTCCAGGAGTTGTGTGGCGAAATTCTGGATCATTTGGAGTGGAATTGATATGAGCGCGGGGGATCTCCTGGATCAAAGGCAGGAGTGGTGGATGATCAATATCAATTGATGCTGGAATCGACTGGGAGGTAGAGTGAATACTTGTTGGACATCCAAGTGCTGCAATTTGCTTGTGTTGGTGGAATCAAAGGGTACTTGGTATGCTGAGCTGGGGATCAAGTTAGCGAATCCTTGATCAATCCTGTTGGTTACAAGCATTGATTGTCAGTGACATCATGAAGTGTTCAAGAGTTGTGCTTGTTGTGTGGTGGAGTCTTATCCAAAATATCACTCGCTGATATCGGCCATACCCCTAGGACAGCAATGATTGTCCTTAGGCTCGGAATGCACATGCAGAACAACTTTGGGTGTTGGTGAGGCAGGCTGTCGCCCCTCGCTTGCTATTTAAAAGGGTTCCCATGCCCAGGTTCGCATGCCAGGGGCCAGACTGAACCCGGAGCTGCAAGTCCTGGCGGTTGTAGTGACGAGATTTGTGGCTTGGCTATCTCCATGTGCCTGCTGGTCGGTCTGCGTTGCTGAGTGGAAACGACCAGCTCTCTCGCGTGGCGGATCCTGGCATCTGGTCCAAATGATCTGGACGCTCGCATCACTAACGGCCGGCGGGATCAACCACCGAATCGATTTGGTGTCACAGCAGGTGACTGAGGTGGGCACGGCAATGATTGATTGCCGTGTGGGGAAGGTCTCGGGCGGGCATAAGAGTTGGCGCTCCCGTGTTTGTTTGCAGTGCTGTGCTATGAGTCATGGTGCAAGGCCGAGTTGAATCTGGCTTCGGTGTGCATGGGAGCCCTACGGGCGGGTGGCAATCATGATGGGGCACCGTGGGGGCCATGGTGGGGAAGTGACAGTTCGAATATTGGTTGCGGGTGGAGCACACGCATGCGATGCTGTTCCATCGCAGAAGTGATGCGTGTCGGCGGGGTTTGTGATGGGTGGAAGTTAGTGGCTAGAGTGGCACATACGAGGCCTAGGTCGGGGATCACATAACCGTGGCAGAGGGGCGGATCAGTCTGAGCCAGCGTGCCTTGATGCGAATGACCAATCGTACCGGCGCCCCATCGCCGTTACTACCTTACGTGAGGTGCAGGCAATGGGGATCGCTGAGGGGGGCGGGTGACCGGCACCGTATTGCCGTCGCTATGTACTACTGTGGGTGTGAAGGTGAATACAATATCCCTTTAAGTACTGGAACACAGCTAAGGGATGCAGGGAGTATTTTGGTGCACACCGCTAGCTTAGTGGGGCAAGCGCGTGGCGTACTACCAGCTACCTAAAGTACTGAGAGCAATAATGTGTATTCGATGGCAGTGGGTGGCACCCAAGGAAGCTGTGGAGAAGTTTCCCCTCGATCTCTGGGTATCATACTCATTCATCTACCCCATTTTGCGAGCATGGTGCGACAATATCTATAAAGTAATTTATAAAGAAGCAGTATATAAAGAAGTAAACAATTAGAATATATCACAATATATATTGTGGTTTTAAAGTCTCGAAGCCACCTAACAGGCATTGTTTGCATATCTTAACAAAGGAAGTCTGATGCCACCTTCGCACTGCATATCTTTGTAACACAAACTGATGCGCCTACCCATCCAAGATTCTCCTGTGCACCCAATGACGGCTGTCCAATGGCCAATACAGTAGTATATTAAACCCTTCCGCATAGTAATGTAACGCTGGGCCCATTTTCGCGGAGTCAATGAATAAAAAAGTAACGGTGCCGGAGCAAGATGTGGAGCAGCCGACTTTAGTAACGGCCGGGGCGTGGCTTCGGAACGGGCTTGGCATCGCCACCTAGTAGGCCACTGGGATGTCGATCGGCAGGCCGGCCGGCGCCCGCCACTTGCCTACCAGACGGGTCGGTCCTCGAACAGCGGGAAGCGATCGCAGGGGAGCGTGGGCGATCGATCGACCGATCGCCAGGCAGGCGCCCGCCGCTTGCCAGCCGGGCGGCTCTGGCTTCGAACCTTACGAAGCGATCGCAGGGGAGCATGGGGGATCAATCGGCAGGCAAGCAGGCGCCCGCCACTTGCCATCAAGGAGGCTTGGGCCTAGAACATTGGGAAGCGACCACAGGGGAGCGCGGGCACCCATGCCGAAGGTGCCAACGCGAAATGGCACCGGCGGGGAGTGGGGGCGGTCGGCGGGCGCATGCGCTTTGACCAACGGCCCGGGGGGGGGTCGCTGGCGCCCGGATGCCGCCTTTGGGAGCCTGGGCCAAGAGCATGGGAGCGGGGTGAGCTGGGCGGATGAGGCAGGGGGGGTTGGGGTTGGGGTTGGGGGTGGGGTTGGGTGGGGGTGGGGGTTGGGGGTGGGGTTGGGTGGGGTTGGGGTTGGGGGGGGGGGGGTATTCAGCAAGCACGAGTTCGCGGCAAGGGACCCGGCTTCGCGGACCAGCTTCGCGCGGGGCGCGATCAATCCCCAGAGCTGGGTGGTTGGTGTCGCACAGTGCACGCACGTACGAGGCTTGGGACTGGTCCGTTGCACCTGAAACTTGGGATACAGCCTCTAGAGGCCCCTTGGAACCCACGCGACATGATGCGGAGCAAAAAAGAAAATAACGTAACGGTCCGGGACGAAAATGCGGAGCAAAAATGTAACAGTCGGGAGGGACCGATGTGGAAGGGTTTTATATATTACGGTATTTCGCAACATCTCCATACACCATTTAACATAGCCATGCACTGCGTGCTTTGATAGCACCGTTTGTCATCGTCCACAAAGCACTGCAAGGCCTAAAAATATAGCCACATACAACTAACTCGTTGCCCCTCAAATCCCTGGAGAAGGGTACAAAAGTAACAATGAGCCTATATCATAACAATCTCGACACAAACCAGGGGTGCAAACGATGATCCGTATCAGACAACGGTGTCACACGTAAAGAAGCAATACAGCGAAATCGTCAAGCAGTGGAGGCATAAAGCTCACTAAGCTTGCCTAATAGACAACAGTGCGGAACGTGCACAATGCCCTGTCTTGCCGTTGCACAGCTTAGGCACGAACGACTACAATAGTGTATGCATGGCCCCTGAGAAATTCAGAAAGTCCATTCCGACGAGCACATAACGCCCATTCCCACCGAGGTCCAATCGGGAAGAGCATTGGTCACTTCCTGTGCAAACGTTGTCGTCTGGTGATACAATATGCCAATTTCAATTTTTACTTCTGCACCATCTTCCGCTTCGAGCCAGAATGGCCACACCTCACCATCTTCATCCTGCGCAATGCGAACCACATGGTCCCTGCCATTCTATGCAGCGCAACACGACACAGAGTCAACGGGGATATCTGCAGAATGAAACTAGCATCACGACCCACAGAGCATATGCAAACTGCCTTTGATATCTAAAGCGTGCTAGGAGGCCGACATATGTTGCCCCATGGGCGGCATGTGAGCGAAGGCGACGGCCAACAAAGCAGCAAAAGGGTTTCGCGCTGCAGATCCTTGCAGAGCATAAACGCACGTAATTTTTTTGGCACGTGCATGGAAAATCCATTAGCCATCTGTGTCTATGCATGTTTGTCAATTAGACACCTGTGTTCAACAAGCCTGGGATGAACCGGTGCTTAATCACACCGTTACAGGAAATGCCACATTCCAGCAATTGCCAAGCGATGCAGGCAGTCACAATGCCAGAATGTAGCAGCGAATGCAATGGCGTACGTCAGCCTGAATGCTAACTACGTGGTCATCGTAAAAGCTGCATCTTTTCCCATAAATATCATCACACAATTTGTCGCACATAAAATGGTGAGCCTGTCATGCACCTCATTGTACAAGAACGTCATTTCGGTAACAGCACATAATATGCCATGCACCATAGACAGACGCTATTCTTCCAGACACACTACCGTCAATTCTTCAGGCCATCTTTTATACCAGAGAAATCGATCAAGCACACGAGCAATTTTCACTCGTTGACAATGCACCATTTCATTGGCCCATATTTCTGAGCTTGCAAGCTCCTTTCTGGACATGGCAGCTGCCTAGCTACAACATACAGAGCCGAAAAGCCGCTGGGTACAAAAGCACAACTGTTGTTAAGCCACAGATCAATTTGTGCGGAAGCAATACCGCACATATAGAAGATGAGAAACGCACCAACATCGTGCTGGACACAAACATGTGTCCAGTTCCAGAATCTAGGATTGGTCACAGGGATGCCAAAAATACATTGAAATATGCAGGAAAGTCCAAGAAAGGGCTCATGCAAATGATCAGTTAAGGGACTGAAAAGATGCATGGTCTTACATCTCCCCGTGGCACACTGCTCAGCTCTTCTGTGAAAGACCACGACAAGATGGGTCCCGTGATGTTGAGGGCGCCCCATCCAGGAGCGGCCCAATGAATCTCCAAAGACATGAGCCGCGTTTCGTTGTTGGCCCTGACAACATTCCCAGTCTGCACAATCTTGGGGTGGTGCTGGCCCCAAGGAACCTCTTTTGCTGGAAGGGGCGGCGCATGCCATTTGAGACCTTTGGAGATGAGGTTGAAAGGAAAGAAGGCTGTGGAGTCAGAGTGTACAGCAGGCACGGCTCCTGACACGTTTAAGTTCAAATCTGGAGAATCTTCAATGACAGATTCAATCGAAATGGGATCCAAAGTCACCATCAAGAAATATGGCTCATATTCATCACCATTGGGTACCTGCATATGTACACAATGAAATCATATCCCATGCAGCATATGTAAATGCATGCGTGTGCAAACCGATTAGATGCCAGCACAGCATATTGAATGGAGAGGCACATTTAAAACAGTACTGTGGACACAATTGTGCTGCGATTCAATGCTGGTCACACAGCTTTAAACACTGATAAGCTGTTGCAGGACAGAACATGTGTATTGGGAATTATATCTCAATCGCCCTTTCAGCAACGATTGGTACAATCCAGTACAACGAAGTTCTCAGCCTTATACAACTTTTGCTAAAAACAGGTTCTCAGATGAGCACACAAAAGTCATTTGCACATGCTTTCCGTGCTCCAATCATGCAAACTGGTGGGCGAAACTAAGCAACGCTTAAGAAGGCTTGAACATAAATATTAGGAATCTTGGTCCATTGTCAATATGCAATTTCAAGGAAGGCCGATTTTCCTGTTCTGAAAAATAAGACGAGCATCACCAAAAATTTGCAGCTTGCATGTTGTCGCACAGTACCACACCTTCTGCATTTCAATGTGAGACATGAAAATCCGCTTTGGACGGTGTGAAGAATATGGCAATGAAGCACTTGATGAAAAAGCACAAAGTGCAGAGAAAAGGAGCAATGCCACAATACCACTCCATTGCTGTCGCCTTGAATACAGAGAAAAAAGTGTTAGTAGGGATAGTAAGGAGCCTACTTTACAATTCCAGGATCCTGTGCACCGTATATCAGCAAAACTGTGAGCCATGGTCATTCCGAATATTGAATATTGACAGAAATTTCATACCTCCCTCGAGTTGCTGTCCACATATGTGTCAAAATCTGCCTCACAGACCACCACTTTGAACACAGAATCAAGAAAATGGAAAGCAATGTTGCTGAAAAGGATGATCTTGTATCATCATTGTCATGTCATAAAATACGACTGGTGACAGCCAATAAACGTTGCTTTGCACCAGATTTTAAAACAAGACATAGAAAACAGTGGGCACCCAAGAAATTGACAACAGCTGCTGAGCAATAGGATCCTTGTGGCTGTAATGCCATCCGCAGTACACTATCAAAGGCGTAAATGGGCTGGCAGAATAATTCTATTGCTAGTGAAGAACTGCAGTCAAAACAGATACTTTGTATCGAAATAGCCGCTCCAAATCACATGTTGTGGTTGCATGTCTTGTGAGAATGTAAGCAGGCTTCCATGATGTCTGTTGCCTTGTGATGAACATATCCACAGTTGCAAACACTAGTAAAAAAGGGTCAAATAACACTTTTTGTGAACACATATATATGCATTTCATCAGTTTTCTGCATGCTAAAAACACAGAAATAAACCAAACCGTTCAACTTTGTACATGTTTGAGCACGTGTTATTTGGCCCTTTTCTTCCTAGTGAAATGGAACAGTTTTGAACAGAGAAACCACATGGAATTCGATATCTTTTGTAACGCAACCTTGAAATGTGTGAGGAGTGGAGTATCAAATTGGTGCCAGCAAGCCACGTATTTCATGTATTCCATAATGTCCTGATTATCTTTATCACCATCTTTGGACCCAAGCCAGCCCAGTTTGTGAAAGCTTGTCAATGTTCGTGGTTTCGGAGTCAAGGACATGCCCACAAATTGCAACCAAATACTAATGCCAAATATTTGCCTTACACTATTCCATCCTGGTTGTGGTCTGTCAAGTTTCGTTCCTTAAAAATGCACAATGTGAGGCATGTTGGCAACTGCAATCAGGGAATCTTAGCACCATTTTTGGGTTTGATGTCTGTTACAGCACTTAATCTCATCTGTGCAATGATTTTACACCAGAGAGTTTATAGTGGAACGAGGAAGTTGAAAAGTACATTTCATTCTTTCAACTCATACCTTGAGGTGACTGCTGCCACCACTGGGAGAAGAAACAAACAGCACAACCATACAATGGCTCCAATCAGAGCCCCAATGACCATGTCTGGAATGAAAATCCCATAAACAGGATGAATTGCTCCAACAATGCTCAGCTTCTCCATGACGTGCTCCACAATTACTCCACCAAATGCCAAGTTTGATGTCACCCACCACCAAGAGCTGAACAGCACTGGAATCAGTCTCCAAATCTTTTTCCCTGCTATCTGCATGCCCAGCAAAGAAAAAGTGGTCAGTTGTGTGGCAACAAACTTCACATTCAACAAAAATAAATTGATGACCTTGAAGAATCCTTCAAGATATTGAAAAGAAAATTTCACGCATGTAGGAAGAGTACAATACATGTCATGTGCATGCATTTCTTTGATATGGTGTCCTCCACATGCTGCTGTGACATCATGTTATACATGACATACGGAATGACATATTGAAAGCAATATTGCGGCCATGCCCTGGTGATTTGGTGCCCTGCTCCTATTATACTGCCAATATCCAAAAAATATGGCAAAATGCATGGATCTTTACAAGGCATGGGATCTTTCCAAGACGTTAAAACATGTTAGCTAAAGTCCAAAAGAGAAAAACTTTGCAAAATGCAGGCAATCAAATTCACAGAAGTGCTTTAGTTGGGTATTGACAGATAGAAAATCCATGGTTTTCACTTAACATCCTCCACAAAGCAAAGACAATGATTTGAAGAGCAACAACACTATGAGCAAGAGCTACTTCTAAAGCTATCTTTTCAAACTCAATTCCAATCTTAGTGATGAAAACAACATTCAAAGACCTTGCACTCTGACTGCAGTATTCCCCATCTTGATGTGATGACAGTGATGCACGATGCTGCATAGTGGAATGATAGTAGGCATGCCAGGGTAACCTGCAGTAAATGTAATTTGAAGAATGCAGTCCAGCATGCTAGGCAGGTAATGTGCATTCCTGGAAATTATTTTTATTGGCCTTGAAAACCAGCAACAAAGCAACTGGATCCATCACAAATCAATTGATTCCTGAAGCAGGTCAAACATTCGAACCTTGAATTTGGGTATCGGAACATGTACCTTTGGGAACACAAGTGCCATCAGCCCCCCTGAAATTGCTCCTTGTGCAAGCATAGTGGAGGAGCCCAATCCAAGATTCGTCAAGTACAAACTGCAGAGAGATATCACCATGCTGATGCCCACAACATGATATAAAGCTCCAGAGCCACAGACTGGGAAGGCAGCCCAAGGTGCAACAGCAGCTGCCATTGCTGCCGGAACAAAAATCCCAACAGCATGGATGTGATGTGCAAACCAAATCATGGGCTTCCCTGGCAGTAGAAAGTTCATGCATGAAGTCAGCAAGGTTGCCAGCAGCAAGTCACTGAATGATGTTTTGCTTGTGCTCAGATTTACAGAGCTATTCATCAATACCATAGTTGAATAAGAACACTGTAACTCTACTTGTCAATTTTTACATTGCCAATGTCTGTTCCAATTAAAACCCTGCCGGTTGAATACCAATTTCAGGTGCAATCAGCAAGTCCACTTTCAAATCAGGCTACACAACAGTTGAACTGTGACTAACAGAGCTGTTTCATTTTGCTATTCGCTGAAAGCCACAAGGTGCAACTGAGTTAGTTGATGCTTTCCCAAACCATATATGCCATGTAGCATGCACTTGGGGGGTGTATTTATTTCAGCCCCAGGACACAAAATTGTTGTGAATCCAAGTGCATCAGTCGAATTCTGGCTGACACAAGAATGCACACAAGCAATCCTACCATGTATATGGCATGCGGATAATTTTCTTTGTTTTCTGTGGGAGAGCTTTGGGAATCGAAGTCAGCTGCGGCCGCTATTAGATGCGTGCTTTGCAATATGAGTGGGCCTGAACATGCCCGTCATACACTGGATGGTACGCTACATTGATCGATGCCGTGACGCCATGTCGAAGTATCCATGTAAGGAAGAAACAAACAAACAATCCTACTATTTGACATACACACTACAAATTTCACCTGCATTCGTGTCTGTGACAGAGATACTGATGGGAATTCTACTATCTTCATCATGATTGCCTGTATTGATCTAAACTAGCCATAATGAGCCCTTAAATGCATCACTATGTAGTATTGTGAGTGCAACATTGATTATCCTGCTCAACATACATCGTGGCAACATCTTGATTGCAAGGTTGCATTGTAATTCTGATGAAAGTTGCATCATGGAAGACCACCACCATCGATGGTTGAAACCCCATTTCCCAAGAAAAGCAACAAGACCACTCATATATAACATGAAGTTTGCCACTATCCATGCCACTGCTGAAACCACCAATGCATCCCCAGTTCATCATTCAAGCATAGTACACAGTTCACATCAATATGCTAGATCTGCAAGGTCAGCGTATCAGCATCGATGCAACATTGCCACACATATCAATGCTTAGTAGTAATGACAATTGGGCATTTACTGAAGTGCTGCTTGGCATCAGTTCGGTGGCAATGCAGGCGCAATATTTCATCAACATCTACCTGTTGCTCAGAAGTAATAATGTTCCTGTAAACAAATTCTTGAACTGGCAAATTCTCATGCATGTTATGAAACAAACAAATAGGTACCTGTTGCCAACACCCTTAGAACTCCCACCAGCCCCGGTACAGCCATGCTCAGTAGAAGTGAGAGTGCTGCGCATGCAATTCCACCAACAAGATTCTGCACAACTTTCCAGCATGACATTCCGCCTATGGCAGCCCTAGCAATGAGAATCAGAACCAGAGCAGCTTGTGGCATGAGGTGCAGCCAAACGGCTGTGCTCATGTGGTATGTGATCATGAAGGAGTGGAAAACATCAAAGAACACCACTGCTTCACTGTCAGATGGAGACAGGTCAGGCATGCTGCCTGCCATCTCTTTGGAAAACTCCTGAATTACACCAAATACAGAGTCGCCATATTCCTGCAGCACAGTCAACACAGCGTTTACCAAAATTGCTACTGCCTACCCACATTTCCACAGAAGGATGCAAGTGCTGGCCTCCAAACAGTCCTGCAATTTGTCCTTTTCATTTTCATCAAGGTTAGCTCAAATAAGCAACAATGAAGTACAGATGAACGTTTTACATACTTAAGCAATGCAAGCAATTGGGAATCTAGCTCTACTTGCATCACAGACTACATTTCCTTTGCAGTAATTCGCACCTGCCTATATTTGCTTGCATTCTGTCATTAGCAATCGCATTTACCTAGGGGTAGATTGATGATTTCCAAAGTAGTTCCGAACATGGTGGTTTTGAAAAAGGAAATAGAAATGAAAGGGCTGCCATGTCAGAACAACCACTGATACTGGTGGCCTGTGCAGTGTTTGAAAAGCCTAATCCAGATGCAAGAGTTGCATCACTGCACAAAGGGGTTTTGTAGGCCCTCACAGAATCCAAGAGATTCTAAGCTCCAATGGACTGAATGCTCAACACACCTGAATTGTTCCCCTCCGTATCCTTTCAAATGTGTCCCTGTCAGTGTGGTATGGAGCAGCATCCAACACTGTTGCAATGTCAACCCCAGGATACAGCCCATGGTGATCCATGGACAGCATACGGAAGTCAGTGTCTGCTGGGATGACATTTAGATTGAAGAAGTCCTGCGTTGTAGAGTGAAATCGATATCAAAATCTGCAATTTATGAACCAGATGGACATTGACAAGACAGACATATCTATCAAGGCCACACAGATGCACAGGCTTGTAATAGGCAGGGTGCAATATCTTGTTTCTATCTGAGCCTACTCTAAACCATGAGGCCATCAAATTCTTCCACTCAGCTTCAGCATTTTGGCATCCAATCATTGCATCCAATTACTTCCTTTTGCCTTGCTATCCACAGTGGGAGCTTTGCATCTTATAACACAATCTTGTATTATGGCGACTATAACATGAAAAGCACAAAAGCTGCTTCGTTTTGCATGCACTGTGGACCACCAGGTAGCAATGCACACATCAAGGTAATCCAGTCACTTCAAAGCATCCCAAGCACCATGGCCCAGGGCACCATCAAAACCTACAATCCAGATAACTCTTGCTGCTCTTGCATTCTAAAACAGCAAGGCCATGCTGCCCTTAGCAACAGTTGCCCATTTGTTTAATGTCTGTCTGTCATTTGTACACATGAGCTGGAAGGACTTCGAGCATCAGTGAATACCACATGTTAGTAAACGAATTTCAACTGCATTCCGCAGCTCATTTCTTGCAAGCACACCTGTCCAACGACAGTCCCTCTTGGGTGCTTCGCCCCTTTGGCATAGGCCTTCAATGCCCATATTCCCGAGTAACGGAACAGAATAGGCAGGCCACCAGAGCCAGTGGACTCCAGATTGATGAAGGCTCCAACACGGTGCCGCCTTTGCCAAAAGAAAACCACTTTTTTTACTTCAGAAAATATGTGTTGACAATGAGCAAGTGAAAGTCCAAACCAGGCAATTTTGATGTACCCACCATGGGCTGCTTGTCACAAATCCATGCGCTGCCTGCAATGCCCAAAACCAAGCAGTCATATCAGCAACTTCACAGACAAAGCAAACATTGTGTGCTGAAGGAAGCCTTTTCCAGAAAATCATGAACTGGTCTGCCCATAGGAGAGATGCATCACTTGATGGTGTGGTATGAACAGAAGATGTGGCTACACTCCAACCTGAATCTGCAGCACAAAGTTGGGGGTGTGCTGCAAAAATGGGGGTTTTGACAAGCATTATGCCAAAGTTGAGGCCAAAGGCCAAGAGACACCTTGACGTGTGCAGCCTGGCAGATATACCAAGGTCTGGAAAATCGTGCACAGTGGTGCTGCCCAAAAAGCTGGTCTAGGTTGAGGCCAACTCAGCTAATCATTGAAAATCAATATTTTTGGAAACACAATTTGGCACAGTGGAAGAAATAGTCCACAAAGAGCATGAATAACAATGATGACAAAACTCTTGAAAGGGTATAGTGATGCTCATTTGTGTCTGCAACAAGAATTTGGGGGAAATGGGTTTGAACACACCGGGATGAGGTGAGGACAAAAGTGCTGGTAATTGAGGCCCCAATAGAAGCAGACAGGGACACTTTGGATAAAACTGTGATTGTCTTGTTGTATAGCAATGATGAATATATTCAAGATCCATATCAACCGAAAATAGACCAAAAAAAGGCGAATTTGGTGATGGATTTACTAGCTGAATTGATCTTGCAAAGCTATGTCAAGTTGGATAATGGACAATACTTTTGTAACAGAAGTAGTATGAGACTTTCCACTGGCAAGCAGTCAGGGTGCACTAACAAGGATTGAAAGGTTGTAATGGAAAGTCTATTATCAAATGAAGTATGCACAAATCAGTGCTGATTGGGGTTGTGCACTTGCGGAAACCATAACTGAAGGGTGTCCATGATCAAATAGATGTATAGAAAGGGAGCCCCCACAGCAGAGCTGGCAGGCTTGAATACCATCCAACAAATGTTTGCCATTAACAAACATATGCAAATGGCAATTACACAATTACAGAAATTGCGTAGTAAGAAAGAGCTCTTGAGTGCAGTGCAAAACCATTGAAAAAGCAACACACCTGCATTATGGTCTCCTCTCCACCATTGAACATGAACAACAAGGGTGCCTGGATTGGGGCTTTGCGCTCTATGATTGAGCGTGCAACCTCAAGGCCAATGCCCACACAGGAAGCACAATCAGATGCACCTAAGGACAAGCATAATCATCATGCAATATGGAGAACCCACTCCTGAAAGGCAAATTGGCAATGCGTGCAGGTTTCGAATCTTACAAATAGCATCTCTGACACCACTAGCAAAAAAGGACCAAATAAAACTTTTGCGAACACACATAAAACACATTTCATCAAAGTTCTGCATGCTAAGAACAAAAAAATAACACAAACCCATAAACTTTGCACACATTTGAACACATGTCATTTGGCCCTTTTTCTCCTAGTGCACGTCAATGTATCAGCATTAGACTATTGAGCTAGAATCTGCCACCTAGCAAGTACTGAAGTAGGTAACAGGTTGAATGGGAATGGCCCTACAAGCTTTAGACAACACCGCAGATTTTGTGGATTGGACCACTCAACGACGATCATGCATGCTTTCCCACACCAGATGAAAGCATTTTGCTGTTGGCTGTCCCACTGCATGAAAGCATGTATCTACCTCCAAGATTTCTCACATTACATTGCCGATCGACATGTGAATGTCAGCAAAGAATCTACAACAATCATCAAGTGATGCAAGCAACTTTGTTGCTGATGTTGGTGAAAGTAAAGCCATGTGCGCACACTGGTCATTCTGGACTGAGGAAAGGCACAGTTGCTACTGCTTTCTGTTGATGACGCAGTGCACTTGTACACGTTTCAACTGCAAGACTGGCTGTCCATGTGGCGGAGATGGACTCTGTATTGAAAACACAAGACAGACAGTGGGAATGCGATTTTGTACACAAACAGTCAGTAACAACAATCCCAAAATGTATGCCTTGGAATATGCAATATGCTATTATATGCAACAGTGTGATGTACGCAATACATAAGAACACAATGTATGGAAATTATGCAACATACTGTAATGAATATACGTTCATTCACAATTTGAATTGCTTCTGTTCATTACCTTTACTGCTTTAGGCATTTTGATTCCTTTTGTGATGGGTCCCTAACTATGTCATCGCAAGAAAACACACAGTGATGTTTATATTTGCACACTTCAAAATGCAAAATTTGCAGTTCAACTGTGTTTCTTCAGTCTTCCGCAATGTGCTTTATGCTGTTTCACCAACATATTAGTCAGCAACGGCAAGTAGGCAGAGATATCAAGACAGAAACAGAAATTTGAGTCTCAAACATACCCTTGCACACAGGCAAGCTGCTGCTATACCCAGGACAAAAGTACTGAGCGTCTCTGTCACTTACATAGTACAGCATAATCATTCTAGGCCATGCTCCACACTATCTTTATACTCTGTCCAAGAGAGGTTACCTGTGGATCCAAACGTGCTGTCATAGTGTGCATTCACCAGGAGGGCTGGCTTTGATGACTTTCCAATTGGAGACAGATACAACATGACTATGGGGATGAAGCGGTAGGCATTCACTGCTTCAGCATTGAAGATGTGGTCCTTCACCGCACCACTGACCATTTCCATTGCAATCTGCCATCACCACAATGAAGAGATACATTATGACATCATTGTGCTTGCTGGTAACGTACAGCTCTTGATGATGCACCAATAAATGGATAGTGTGGCAATTTGCATGACATCCTAAAGTCTCAAATGCTACCGCCCCTTACCCAAATATGCCATTGGCATTGTAGAGTGAGGGAAAGTGCACAAAGTACATAATGCTGACCGGCACTTTGCTGCCATTGCAAAGGACATAAAAATCATCAGCAATGATGCAATGTACAAATATGCACGTGGCTTTGGAAAGATATTGTCCACAAAAGTGTATGTCCACTCAGTGCATGGTCTTGGCATAAGGGGTAGTGCTTCTAACTACTTTGTACCCTAGCTTGGGTGTTGTTGCCCCCAAACTTTCTTAGCTAGAAGTCAGGAAACTGCTTGCTTTCCCACAAAAGATGTTTGGATGGCTCCTCACAAGGCTGTAACAGTGGCAGATGCATCCCAACCTGTTTGTAGGGTGACAAAAGATAAAAGCACAAACAAGGTTAGACAAGCATGATAGTAGACTGCCAACGGCAAGATGACTAGTGGCTGCTATTTCTGAAGTATGTTGGAGGAAGGTGCGTGTTGTGGAGGGATGGGTGACTAACCGCATCACCTCTTGCCTGCAATGGCATGAGTGCCACATGGGCCCAACCTGCATGCAGACGCCTTCCCTATTTTTACCCTTGTTTGGCCAGGCACAACACTTGTGTTTACTCATCTGTTTCCACACATTGACGGGCTCAGGGAATGTGGCGACCTCTTGTGGCTAAGCTTGCTGTAACGTATCGGCTCATACCTGCACAGCTAATTGCCAAAAGCTGGATAAGGTTGGACAGTGCCATCAATGCAAATAGTTGCAAACAGTATGCATATCGAGCAGCTCTCATATCTTTGCTTGGCCAAGATCTCACAATCATGCATTGCACATCTGGCTGGTGAAGATGCAGCACATTTGACAAAGACCACTGCTTACCTCCGCCTCCATATCACCTCTCCTGTTTGCAATGATTGCCAAGTGCTCTACCTGTTCCCTCAAATACCTTGTTGCAGCACGGTTTCCAGGGCTGGAAACCTTACAAAACCCACATCAATGTGTCAGCAGATGTGCACCAGGTAAAACAATGTGACGCACTATCCATGCCTGTATTGGAAAAATACCCATGCATACCAACAAATAGCCACAGCGCCATGCATACTTGCATGATAGAGCATTTGTAAAGGCTCAGATGGCAAGAACTCTCTAAAGCTAGAATTCTCGGAAACCAGGCTAAATTCTCTCTTCTTTGCAGGACCCTACCACTCTGCTTTGGCACTGCCACGATTTCTGTACCCTGCCAAGAACAAACCTTCTGTTTTGTGTGCAAAAAGCAACAGTCTCAATACTTCACATTTGTAGAATGAGCTTAGCATTGCACATTTCGATGACATTTTACAAGACAGGCTAGATCATTCACGGCCATGAAGATGAAAAGCAATGTGGTGATGGCATTTAGTACCATCCATGTCCTTCAGCACATTTGCCCCCTTTGTGCTGTGCGGCCATATCGGCAGCGAATTATAACTCAGTAAGGTCCGGAAAACTTTAAAAAACATATCAAACTGGGCAATCTAACAAGGGGCACTGAACAGAGAAAGCAGAACAAGACTGGTCCTGGGGGAGTCATTGGTCTGAATTACCTGGCGGTGGCCGATTCGTCTGCTGAGGACGTCAACATGGGTGAGTGCCCTGGCCTCCGAGAAAACATCCCTTGGGGCAGACAGCCCAAGTGGCGTGGCAGTTGACCATATCCACCAACTGGCCATGGCCACCTGCATTGGAAGATCCCATCATTAAGCTGTAAGGAACATGCATGGTCACAACCATTCCATCAAGCTGAAATGGAAAGGAGGGGATACGTGTCACCAATTTCAAAGAAACCTGTGGTGGTGGGGTGGGCGGGGGTGGGGCTTTTCATTATAAACCAGGGAACTTCTTCCGGCTCCAGACACTTTTGTGTTGTCCTTGAATACAATGACAGTACCTTGCCACACCTTCAAAGGGCACTCAAACCATGGTTTGAGTTCCTATCATCCACTGTGCTTTTGCCAAGGAGCAGGCAATGTGCACATTCTTTCGTGCCGATTCATTCTCAGGAATCTTTGCCAACCAACAGCACATTTGCATTGTGCATTTCTTCCATACATGTTGCACCGGTCGACCACCCTGCTTGCAGATGTGCGAAAATAAAGCCGAGATGTTGTGGAAAGACCAAAGTACACAACCTGAGCCCGCCCCGGTGCGCCGCCCGCCACTTGAAGGCAAGTACAAAATCCTACGTTCGGAAGCAAGAGCAACTTCTCATGCCCATGTGCCGCAAACTTCAAATGGGAAAGAAAAACGACTCTGTTCCCATTTTCTTTCCCCCAGAGCTCCACAGGCCACAACCAGAAGGGCGCGCCGCGAACCGACCGCCAACTCACCGAGATGGCAATGTACGTAAGGAACACGAGGACACAAGACCAGTCCCCGCCGGGCCCCTCGTCCCCGCGCCTCCTCCCTCCGATTTTCACCCGCCCTCCCTTCCGGCCAGAATCTGCCACCTCAGCTTGTCCACGATCCGCCGGAACTCTCCTCCTGCGCACCATTATGCGGCCACTCGCGATCCCGCTCGTGATCTGGCCGCCCCTCTAGATTGCCTCCGCCCGCGAGCGCCTCTCGAGCCGATTGAGGATGAGAGGCTGCCACCGGCGGTGGGGCCAACGGGTCAGGGCGGCGCGTAGGTGGTTGCCAGCGGCAGGCGGCAGGCGGCAGCCGGGGACTCTGTGAGCGCGGCGCGGGCACCGACCAAGGTATATTGCCACGATACCGCCGAGCTCGTGCTCGTGCGGTACAGGAAGTGGGCAGCGTGACCAGGTATCCCAATAGACGGGCGTTTCTGTTGTTGACAAGACTTCTCTCCGCCCGACTGATACACGGAAGGTCGGGCGGGCGACACACGCCTCCAGCGAGCTTTGCAACCGTTGCCCCACGTGTGGCAGGATGGGGCTCTGCTGGCCTGGCTGCATACTGTTGGCTTTCAAACCCTTCCATATCGAAAAATTTAAATTTTACGTTTTTTGCTCCGCATTCGTTTTTCACAGCGTTATTTTGTTGTTTTACGTTGCTCCGCAAAAATTTATTTCAGAGAGAGTTGTTTTTTATTGCTTTGCGTGCAGGAAAGGCCAAGCGTTACGTCACTCTGCGGAAGGGTTTCAAACGCAACAGTATTGTGGCTGGCCAAGTCTGGTGCATTCATCCCGCTTTGGTGTCAACCGACTATATTTGCACCAAGGCCCAACACTTTTTGAGAGAATCATTTCTGGATGCCAGCTTGCAAGGGAATCTGGGGCATAACTGAAGCCGACAGACGTGGGATCTGGCGAGGTGGCGCAACTTGCTTTATTGACAGGATAGTGCAAAATCGACAAATCGTACATTTAAACATGTGTACGCTTCAGGGTGACTTTAGGACACCGGCTTATGGAACTTCTTGCTACGATTGCTGGTGGGCACGGCCTTTGGGAATTCTTGAACAGGATACGTTTGTGTACTTGGCGCGATGGCGGACTTCAGAGATGGAATACTTGAGACGCGCCTTGATGGAAATATGAAAGAACTTTCGAGTGGTTTCCTTCTTTTCCTCCTTGATTTCTTTTCGTTTCTGTAGACTCAGACGAATTTTGAGCTCGCTTGATGTTGCGCAGCTGTGCAGCTTGTGGTCACTGCTCCCCTATATGCATTGACACCAAGTAAGATTTTGGTAGATTGCGCAGCACATGAGAGTCTTTCTTCATCAGCCACTGGTCTTGCAGGCCGATCGATCGTTGCGGCAAATTGGCAATTCGTGGCCAGTAGTTTGTATGGAGATGATGCCGCGCATTTGCCTGTCGTCAGCCGTGTGGCGTTCAAGAGACTTTGCCTGCGAAAACTTGAAGACGCTGCTACAGTGTGCAGAAATCGGGGCACAGTAGCGTTTTAGATATACCAGTCTGGAAGCTGGAAAAGTCAGACTACCTCAAGTGCAAAACGATACGGGCTTTGATATACCACACCAGTTAGCTCGTGTAACGTTTTTGTGGCCTTCGCTGTTTCACTGTCCAGCGATACTTGCCAATAGAGGTATCAGATGGCCCTCGCAGCATTCCACGCCCCGAATACATTGTACATCATATTCAAAGCATTCTTACATGCATCAAAACATGGGTAGGCGTTTTCTTGTCTATGAAGTCTAGTTCAACGAGGTGCGAATGTGTCTAAACAGGGTGGTTAAAATCCGGATGGTTGTTGTTGCCATTGCTCACTTTTGGGAAGCTGCTATCTTCTCCATCATCAATTCCGTCGGATCGTACAGCAGATAAGCACAATTCTGAGAGTTTCTGAGAGTGATGTCAGTTGGGACGCACTTGGAGCTGGTCTTGAGAGCCAGAAGACAAGCTTCAGCAATGTCTTCTGCCCTTATCATCTCCTCTGGGATCGTGCCAGGCATCCCCCTCGCGCACCAACGAGATGAATAGTGTCACTGACAAACTCGTGCTGGACACCACAATGACAGTTGAAATTGTGCATTGTTTGCTTTAGTACAGTGTAGAAGTGGTGGCACACAAGTTTCGTGTGCATTAGTGTGCTGAATACGCATTTCTCCAGTGGTGCTAAGCAGCAAACAACATGGGGACAAAATATGGTCTAGCCACCAGCTCGCAGATACAAGGGCAGCACCGCCATTACTTTTGCACGAGGAATGTTTGCCTTGGTGCAGTTGTCCAGGGCTTGCACACTAGTCTTCAATTTCTGAACAACTGTACTAAACACTAGGAAAAAAAGGGCCAAATAACACGTGTTCAAGTGTGTACAAAGTTTACGGGTTTGTGTTATTTACGTGTTTTTAGTGTGCAGAACTTTGATTAAATGTGTTTTATGTGTGCTCGCAAAAGTGTTATTTGGCCCTTTTTTTCCTAGTGAAAGCAAACTTTCCTCACGCAAAAGTAATCTCCATGCTGGTCAGATCAGTGTTGCGTTAATTAACATTTGCACGGATCCCTGGAAACTAAATTGAGGCAACGATGTACGCACCCTTCGTCCTTGTGCAGATCTACCAAATATCAAGAATAGAGCAGACACATGCAATACGGACAGTGTGCTTTTGGCGTTATATCAGAGGGGATTGCTGCCAACTCTGGCATCGAGGTGTCCGCAACTCCAGGTTTGATGCAAACCATTTACACCTCGCTTCGCCGAATGGCTTCTGGCAGGCTTGGTTTTTGTGCAGTAAAAACTCATCGTATTTACGTTTTCACACGTAAAAACAGTTTTTACGTTTTACGCATAAGAATTGCGTAACAATACGTAAATACAACGTAAAAACTGCCCGGTATACATAAGGACAGTACACGCAGACCTGCGGAGTCCGGGGAATGGCAGCGAGACGCCCTGCAAGGGACAGAGAACGAGTTTTTGTTAAACCCCATCATCGCCCTTGCCAACGGCGATGTGGACATTGTGTTGCGGGTGCTCGAGATGGCGGAGCACTGATCATTGTACGCAACGTTCATCGTGTAACCTAGGTGTCGCAGGGACCCGCAAAAACGTAAAATAGCCGTAAAATAGCCCTTTTGCAAATTTGCGTTTTACGCGTAAAAATGTAAAAGTAAAAACGTGAACGTAGACGTAGAAACCAAGCCTGGTTTCTGGCACGACAGCGACCAGCCGCGCAGGCCAAATTTGGCGACGCAGTAGGCCGCCGTGTTCCAATAAGACTCCAGGCCTCCAAGGGAGGAGATGTTGAGAATCGTGCCATCTTTGCCGTCCATCAGGGCATGAGACAGGAGGCGCGTCAGCCGCATCGGGCTGGTCAGGTCCGCCATCACCTGAGGCACCCACAGTCATGCACAACATCACGCATTCAGGGGTTCAGGAAGTGCAGAACTGCGTACGGTGTTACAGTATAGTCCAGCAAGTACATTATAATGTATTAGCATTATTATAATGCTAATTAGCATTATTGCAGCGCATATGTCGCCCAGCATTCCATCAACGCGATCGGCACGTTTCTTGTCAACTGTTAAGCACAGGAGGCCCATCCATCACGTTCTCTGAGTCGTCGTTCGGCATCATCCCTGGGGATCATTAAGTTTGGTTACGTAAACTTTATGCAGTGCCGTTTGCTTTCGGTTTTATAACGTGAACAACGTCTCGACTCCCACAACCGGCACCAGTGATCCACAGCCTCAGGTGAACCGCTCTCTCACGTACAAGAACCTTGGCAGCAAGACTACACCGCACACTGCCGCCCAAGCCACCAGGCGCCGCCCCTGGCTGCGCAGACGCTCCCAAAGTTCCCGGCCCTTGCGAACATGCTGAAGGGCAAGTGGTGCCTGGTGACGGGCGGCGGTCGCGGCATCGGCCGATCGATCGCGCTGGCCCTCGCGAAGGAATCAGCATCTCTGGCGCTGACATCCAGATCCGTGGAACAGCTGGAATCCGTGGCCGTCGAGTGCAAGGCGGCCGGCGCGCCGGCAGTAGAGGTCTACCCGGCGGATCTTTCCGACAGCAAGGCGGTCGACGGCCTGGCGGCGGCGCTGTTGGCGAAGCACGGCTGCGTTTCCGTGCTGGTGAACAACGCCGGCATGATCACGAATGGAATGACCCCCCTCGAAGGGGACCCCGACGAGTGGGAAAAGGTGCGGAGCAGCGAGCGCGCTGCTCTTTGTCCCCTCCGTTCGCAGTGGCTCTGTTGTCCTCGCGCGTTTTCGCTTGTCCCGTCCTGCGCTGCGTTCAGTTCATTCTATTCGGCACGCGCTGCGATGCCCCTGTGGACCGCTGGAAAAGTGCTGTCTGCTGGCTTCCCGTTTCGTGTCCTGTCGGGCCGAACCGACTGTCCTTGTTGCAAAGTGTGCTCCTTTGCAGGAGGGTTTGGGCAGGCGCGATGCAAGGATCATCCACATCATTTGACATGGGAAACGGTCGCCGGTTTGTCACGCATAGGAATTGGGGATTCAATCACGGCGACTGCGGCCAGCCTATTTCCAAAATCCGAGGCCCACCACCCTCCGGTGCTTAGCAGTTGGCATAGTCATGTGAAACGTGCCAATCGCGTTGATGGAGCGGTGGACGATATATGCACTGCAGTAATGCTAATGTACTTGCCTGGCTGCTGCTGCGAAATGAGTATTGTAACATCGCGCGCAGTTCTGTATTTCCTGAAATGCTGCATGATTGATGTTGTGCATATCTGTGGGTGCCTCAGATGATGGTCGCGGACCTGACCAGCCCGATGCGGCTGACACGCCTCTTGTCTCCTGCCATGGTGGAGCGCAAAGATGGGGCGATCCTCAACATCTCCTCCGTTCTTGGCCTGGAGCCTCATTGGAGCACGGCGGCCTACTGCGCCGCCAAATTTGGCCTGCGCGGCTGGTCGCTGTCGTGCCACGACACCCTTCGACGGAGCAATGTGAAAGTGGTTTGTATCAACCCTGGATTTGTGGACACCTCGTTGCCAGGGTGAGCAGCATTAATCTCTGATATAACGCCAAAAGCACACTGTCCGTACGACACGTGTCTGCTCGATTCTTGATGTTTGGTAAATCTGCGCAAAGGCGAAGGTTGAGTAGATGGTTGTCTCGATTTAGTTGTCGGAGATCCGTGCAGGCATTAGCCAACGCAACGCTGCTCTGGTCGGCATGGAGATTATTTTCGCATGAAGAAAATTTGTTTCAGTGCAGTTGTTCAGAGTTGAACAACAGCGCGCAAGCCCTGGACAAATGCATCGAGGCAAATATTCTTCGCTCAAAAGTAAGGGCATTATTTGCCCTTGCATCTGCGACCTGATGGTATGCACCCTCCGCTACAGGGCATATGTGGTCCCCATGTTGTTTGTGGCTGAGCACCCTGGAGCTATGCGTATTCAGCACATTAATGCACACGAAACTTGTTTGCCACCACTTCTACACTGTACTAAAGCAAACAATGCACAATTTCAACTGTCATTGTGGTGTCCAGCACGAGTTTGGCAGTGATCACTATTCATCTCGTTGGTGCGCAAGGGGGATGCCTGGCACGGTCCCAGAGGAGATGATAAGGGCAGAAGACATTGCTGAAGCTTGTCTTCTGGCTCTCAAGACCAGCTCCAAGTGCGTCCAAACTGACATCACTCTCAGAAACTCGCAGAATTGTGCATATCTGCTCTACGATCCGACAGAGTTGATGATGGAGAAGATGGCAGCTTCCCAAAAGTGAGCAATGGCAACAACAACCATCCGGATGTTTAACCACCCTGTTTAGGCACATTCTCACCTCGTTGAACTAGACTTCATAGACAAGAAAATGCCTACCCATGTTTCGAGGCATGTAAGAATGCGTTGAATGCGATGTACAATGTATTCGGGGCGTGGGATGCGGCGACGGATACGTGATACCTCTATTGGCAAGTATCGCTGGACAGCTGAACAGCGAAGGCCGTAAGGACGTTACATGAACTTCTGGGTGTGGTGTGTGGTGTGTCGAAGCCAGTATTCCTTTGCATTTTAGGCAGTCTGACTTTTCCAGCTTCCAAGCTGGTATATCTGAAATGCTACTGTGCGCTGATTTCGGCACACCGCAGCAGCATTTACAAATTTTCACCGGCAAAGTCCCTCGCCCGCCACACGACTGACGACAAGCAAATGCGTGGCACCATCTCCATACAAATTACTGGCCACGAATTGCCAATTTGCTGCAACTAGCGATCGACCTCCAAAACCATTGGCTGATGAAGAAGGGTTCTCATGTGCTGCGCAATCTACCAAAATCTTATATGGCGTTAATGCAGACAGGCAGCAGTGACAACAAGCTGCAGAGCAGCGCAACATCAATCAGGCTCAAAATTTGTCTGAATCTACAGAAACGAAGAGAAATCAAGGAGGAATAGAAGGAAACCACTCGAAAGTTCTTTCATGTTTGCAGCAAGGCGCGTGTCAGTTACTCCATCTCTGACCTTGAAAGTCCACCACCAAACCATGTACGCAACATTGTCCTGTTCAAGAGCTCCCAATAGCTGTGCCTGGCAGTAATCGTTGCAAGAACCTCACATAAGCCAGTGTCCTACACTCACCCTGAAGTGTACATATGCCTGGCAGGCTTTGCACAGTACCCCTCACAGCAGCAATGAGGGTTCAAAAGTCGTGGCCCAGAAATCTGGACCGCAAATGCAGCCCCGAGTTGACCAATTAATCTCAAATTAGGGCAGCAAAGCCACGGCTACTTCCGCGATCAAACCCACCAAGACACGCTTCCCCCTGATTTGCTTCTTTGCAGGGACATCTCAAAGCTTCTATCTAGGGGTGAGCGTACACTATAAGACGGAAATGCAAACGTGCCCAGTACGTTTACATTTTTGGAACGGAAACATGAACGCCTGCAATACGTTTGGGTTTTCAAAACAGGAACGTGAACGTGTTCCATGCGTCCTGTTTTCCCCAACTGAAGTGCGGACGCAGGCCAACGTTTCGCTTATGGAAAGTTCGCCCAAATTGTCAGTCAACTGATCTGATCTTCTTCAGTCTAGATTTGAGGTGCCTTCAGTAATGTTATTTGGAAAAGGTACCACCACAACTAGCATTTGTTGGTGCGCAACTGGCTCAGATGCTTTATTCATATCGCTTTTCCTAGATCTCCCACATATTTTCTTGTGCTGCGACGGGCCAGCAGTGGGGGCGAAAAGTAACGCCTAGCATACGTTTAAATTAGCTGGGTGTCCAGGCCACCAAAATGTGAACACACACGCCTGCACCACGTCTGGGTATTTGGGATGGAGCTGTGAAGGTGCGTGGTACGTCTAGATCATGAAAACGGGAACACAAGCGTGCCCGTTGCGTTTGCGTTTCCAAAAATGGTAATGCAAACATATCATTAATGATTAATGTTCCATTGGCGTTTCGGCCCAAATGGAAAATAAACTTGAGGAAAGCGTTCGTTTGTGCCCACTATTGCCTCTGCCCGAACGGCGTGGATGTTTTTTCACAGGCGGTGTTGTTTCGCGCTTTTAAGGCGTGCTTCTCATCATCGCGAAAAACGGCCGTTTCCGTGACTGCGTTGGAAAACGGGTGAGTTTTTGACGGGAGGACCCTTGGTACAAATAACTGCCAACTTCTCAATACTTAAAGGATTCACTTGAAATTTCGACCGTGTACTCCAAAGACATAGGCACACCTTGGGAATACATTATTTGAAGAGCTAAACTCATGTGATGTAGGAGTAGGGCGCCAAATTCATAGAAGACAATTAATTCCAGACGCAATAAGGATTGTTTTAAGCATTGTCCCTATTCCCGAGCCTCTTTAGAAACAACGATTTATCGATTTTGTACTATGATTCAATACACCAAAATGCGCCACCTCGCCAATCCCACATTGATGACAGAAAGGTCCGGTGGAACAAAAGAACGACGTGAGAGACATCCGCAACATTGCAGAACCCCACCACGTCCGGGCAGCCGAGGAATTGCTGTAGACATTTGCCTATCTGTTTCCGCACCCCCAGCCCCAACTATGTGAGTCCACGGCCGCTAATGCGCTCGGTCTTGCGTGGCTGTGACCCAGCCTCATGAGTTCTTGTAGGCCCTCCCCAGTTTGCACCACCCCCTCGCCCTCGATCTGCCCCAGCCCCTGGCATGAGCGTTAGTCATGCCAAAGGACATCACACCACCATGCTTCTCCTTCCCATTCTACTCCCACCTACCCCACCGGCCACACCCACCGGACTTGCCGACCCGCCACTTCCCCACGACACATTCCCATCTGTTTCGACACTTCCCTTCACTTTCCCTTCGAATTCACCCGCATCTGCGTTCACAGCTCGCAATTCCGCCCATGGCATCACCCAAGCTCGGTTTTTACGCCGTAAAAACTGATCCTATTTACGTTTTTACGCGTAAAAATGGGTTAGGCCCTTTTGCAAATTTATGTTTTTACGGGAAAAACGTAAAAGTAAAAAAAGTGAACGTAAACATGGGAACCAAGCCTGGCGCCACCCCGCAGCGCACCGCAGACGGGGTACTCCCCCAGGTTAGCCCCACCCTGTCTGCTTACCTACCTTCACCGCACTTGCCGCATGCGTGCTCCTCAGTGCCGTCACCTCCCACCGTGCCGACCGCCCTCCCGCTCCATCCTTCTCCTGAGCCTCCGTCACCGCCCGATGGTCCCACCAATCCCACTAATGCCCCCACCCACCTGAGGGCGCTCTCCTCACCCATAACCCTTCGACGCCCTCGGAAAATGTGACTTTAGATATGGATTCCTCCACATCATCCTCCACCATTAGCTGATGGGCTTTCGGCAGCCAGGAAACTATCAATTTTATAGTTGGATAGTGCTTCTTTCATCTCACACCAAAGTTCGTTTTTTTTTGTGAACTCACGTACGCTGCAACAGCAATTTTTACACGCTTATTTAAGCAAGAAAGTATTTATTGCAAGGTACGTCCTTCTTCCCAAAGTGATGTACAGTTATGAATCGTGGGCCCTTAAAACCTATTAATCATCTCATATTTGCTCAAAATTGGTTGCAATGTTTTCATTTAAGTCTAGTTTGTGCTCCCAAAATTTTGAGTCATTTGGCTTAGTATTAAATCAGCAGTGTCATCTTATACGTACGTCGCTCGGCCATGCGTCTCATGGTGGCTCCGAAACAACTCATTTTTGGGCCGTTGACCATGCCACCCTGTCATGCCCCCACCTCACAAAATGGCGCGGCTCAGAGGCGAATCCTAGACTAACATCAGTAGAAAACAGCCTGTTTGCCATGCCAACTGCGATACCATTTTGACACAAATTGATGCCATCACAGCCCCTTTTATGCCATCGCACTCACTGTGATGGCATAAATTTGTGTCAAAATGGCATCGCAGTTGGCATCGCAAACAGGCTGTTTTCTGCCAGTGTAAAGGTTGGATCACAGACACGAAATTGGAGAGCAGTCCACCAGCTCGTCCCAAAAGGCGTGATTGAGGATCTCGCTTGCGTTTTGCCTCCATCTCCGTTCCCCGAATTGTGCTCCGGTTGTGCCAGGCGACCTTTCCAACTCCCACTGCAAAATGCACCTACCATGTCTTAAGACAAGCTTGGGACGTCCACAGTTCCCTTGCCATATGCGGGACAAGTTCAATCCCGCGGGATCACTGATTGCATTTTGGAACGGCTTGTAAATTATCTCAATTTTTTAGCGCACAGTCTTGAGCCCATGGGCAAGATCTTTGATCATGTGCTTGCGACGAACTGGCGGCCCGCCCTCCGCCTCTGTTTCTCCTCTCTGACCTGCAGTCTAAAGCACGCCTCCAACTTCTACAGCTTTGCGCAGTTGGGGCCGAAGCATAGTGGCATGGTCCAGGGCCTGAAAACAGGCGGTTTTGGCGCCACCTTGGAAAACCAGGGTACTTCTGGAAAAGTGAAGTTTGTTCAAAATCACACCGACAATTGACTACTTATCCGATTGTCAATCGAGTCGGTGACTCAAAAATTTGGGATCACAAACTAGACTCAAAGAAATAATGAAATTTGGTGCAATTCTGACCTATTTTAATGGATCTTCTATGCCAACAGATCATAGCTGCAACTTATTTTGGGACGGAGGAAGTACTCGTCTACCTCAAAGATTTCCACCTATAGGTGGTGATTAGCTAATCGCCTCCAAGCACTCCCAACTGCTCCGTGACTTAACCCCCATGGACTGCGAAAGCCACTTACTAGGGCTTGGTCTGGAAAGAAGTCAAAGGTGAAGGGTGCGAGTACCCCACACACTGCCTTTCATTGTTAGGATTGAATATAGACTCCACTTATCTATCTCTACACATCACCAAGAAGCCAACTAAGTACTCCTCCAAACTAATGAAATTTCGCCAACATATCTCCACCTACAGTGAATGTTCGAGGGAACAGCTCAAAAAATATGCAGTTGCTTTTGTTTCGCATGTTGTGCATGTAGATTGGACCTGGCCTTCATGCGAGAAACCTTTGACGCTTTATACCAAGATACTTGCAGTAGGGAAAAAAGGTTTACAGAAAACCTGTTCAAACGCGTAGAAAGTTTACGGGTTTGTTTTTTTTCGTGTTTTTAGCATTCGAAACACTGATGAAATGCATATATTTGTGTTTGCAAAAAGTATAATTTGATCCCTTTTTGCTAGCGTTATGTCCCAAATCGCCAGACCACCGATGGGTTGGTTTTCGTCGATGGCGTCCGCGTTTTGAACAGGAATCCTACCTC